GTGTAGGTATGCACTGCTATGGTGTGTTATATGTCTGGGGCTTGAGAGCAGCCTGTGGTACATGGTATTACACAACTGCATTTATTTACCAGACAATTAAAAAATAATGATTTTTATGATGTTTATTACAATTGGCAGACTGAAATACATCTGGGGGACTGTGTGGAAATTGGACGTATTTTGGACAACCAAGACATCAGTTAACACAAATAACAAGATTTTTTTTTGAATACAACATATAGTATATAATACTGATAAATTTTTTTTAAGATTTGCATCTAATTACAACATTTTTATAGTAATTATAGTGTGTGGCTGCAAGATTAGAGCCAATTGCTAGCCTATATATATATATATATATATATATATATATATATATATATATATATATATATATATATATATATATATATATATATATATATATATATATATATATATATATATATATATATATATATATATATATATAGAGCTGGAGAGAGCCTGGAAAGTAAAGGCATCAGTGGTGCCTGTGGTGATCGGAGCACTCGGGGCTGTAACCCCCAAACTGGAAGAGTGGCTACAACAGATACCGGGAAAAACAACGGACATCTCAGTCCAGAAAAGTGCAGTACTGGGAACAGCAAAGATACTGTGCAGAACTCTCAAGCTCCCAGGCCTTCTGGTAGAGGACCCGAGCTCAATGAGGGTGAGAGAGACCTACCACCGTGGAAGGTGAGAAACACATTATTTTTATATATATATATATATATACTGTATATACTTGTTTCTTTCTTGTTTTTCTGTTTTATGAAGTTAAGTCGTTACTTTTAAAATATTGGGCACTGCAGTTAAAGAGTTTCACATCATGCATTGATAGTGTTTGTTCCCAAAAGCTTTATTCTTAAAAAATGGAGTGCACAGAGTTACTAAAACAGTGCCACTTGTTACTCATTTGACCCATGCACCATTGAAAGCATTTGTCAAATTCTCACCCTTTTTGTTCCTCTAATAATCCAGCCTCTGTTGTTTACCATCAATCAGCACTTTTATGTTTGCAAAGGCGCCTGATTAGCCACAATTACAGGCTGACTCTGCCTTGTATGTTCCTGTTTTCCACTCTGGGCTGTTTGTGACAGCTGTATAGGAGTAATCAGAGCTGGGCTAAATGTTGTTCTGCCATTGGCCTGATGCGTGTAATCACCTGCTGTGAGCCTCACCTGAGAACCGCCAAATAATGAAATAATGGACGCTGCTCGGTCGGGTGCAGTGAAGGTGAAACTGTTTGGCTTCTAATTGGCATGGAAACAAAACATCTGAAATAATTATTCTAGAAACACAAAAGACATAATGTCACGTTGTACAGAGTTGGGAGACCAGTCAATATGGGGAGAGCAGGTATTTAATTTCAAAAGAAGAGCCCATATTCATTGTGTTGTGTTTATTCTTTGATGGACTGAAATATTTCCCCTGAGCTGTGAACTTTAACATACAAAAGGAACATTCTGGATTTTAGACAATAAAAACACCTGTAATGGAATTAATGTTTGATAGACATGTGTAATGTTGTACCATGGAATATTTCAAGCAAGAAAATAACATCTCCATGGAAACAACCAGGTGTTGGATCTTCCAGCATAAATGTTACTCTTTTAATGATGCTTTTCTTTTTTGTTTTCTTTTTTATCTTATGACTTTCTTCTAACATTATATAAAGGCTTGTTGCTGAGAGGCCTGTGTTGTTGTGGAGCAGCTGCTTGGCCAGTTCATTATGGTCATCCTATGTTCCTGCTCTGAATCTATAGAGAATAGACTGTGACAGCAGTAATTCACTAAAGGCCTAATGAGGCTGTAATTATGGTCTGTTTTCCTGTGTTAAGGTCCAAGCATTTGGTTCATAAATAATACCATAATCACCTACAGGAAAGGAAACCATGTCAGTAACAACCTTGTTAGCGGTATTTGTTCCTGCTGAGGAAGATGCTTGATCACAATTTGTCTGTTTTTTGTTTGTTTTTTGTTTTGTTAACATAATAAATAATAAATTTAAATAATTACAATGCAATTAAAAACATGTAAAATATGACATGTAAAATATGACATAATTACATAAAGCTCGTAATATTCCAGTCCAGATTTGGTGCCATATTTTTTGTGATTGCAAGATGGCGCCACTCCATCTCTGCCAGCGCTCCTTCTTTTACCAGTCCCAAGCCAGGAAGATCGCATTTGAATACTCTCAGAGAGGGTATCAGGTATAACAATAAGCAAATCACAGTCACAATGAGAAATTTCATATACACAAAAGAGCACATAAAAACACCAGTCAAATTAGCAGCCTGACACCGGGAAAGTCTGTCTATTATGAATCAAACTTTCATTCATTGAGGCCAAATGGAATCCTTTATTTTTAGCTGTTGGTGTGGACAGTGTGGAGTCGCTTTTATTGGCCTGGTGCTCAGAGATGAATGGGCACCCGCACAGAGAAATGCACTGTCTCCGTGTTCATTTGTCACTGCCACTTTGAGCTGTAAAGAACGCATGACTCACTTGATTAGTTCCATCATTATTCCACAAAGTTCAGCAAGACAAATAATCCAGAGAATGTGTCCGATTTGGGACCATGCCAACTAGAACCCTGTTACTGATGAGTTTAACATGCCCATGAATCACTTTCTGTAATGGTGTGGATTCTGTACAATGAGATGGTAATAGACAAAATAAGGTATTTTGAGTAGGGCTGTAGTCAACTAAAGAAATTATTGGGCGACTAAAGACATGCTCTACTGATGAAGACCCTGATGAGGCCTGTCACGATAAGAAATTTTGAAGTATGATATATTACTAAAGTAAAAGTATTTGACTCAAACTGTGCTCACAACAGAAAACACACAGAAAAGTACAAGGAAACAATTTATAGATGATACCATTCACTCTCAAATCTCAGCTATCATCACCTCATGCCTTCTCCTGTCTGATATTGTCCCATATGCGTTTTTATAATCTAAATGAAAAATAAAATAATGAATACTATGCGGTAGGGATGGGCATTCGATGAAATTTTCTTAATCGATCGTTGGAAGAATTAACGATCGATTATCGATTAATCATTAACGTTTTTATATTGAAATGATCATCATTATTATTACTATCTGCACTACTAATCTGCATTAATAAGTTCAACTTCACGACATATAAACCGTAACAACTCTAGAGCCACATCAATCCGTTTGACATTATAATGTGTTTAATGCAGTTTTGCGCAACTCTCACAGAAACAAAACTTAAAACCGCATCGCTAATTTGCATAAACTCAGCGAAGATAAAACTACAGCTCTTGTGCGCTGATGCGGTTCAATTTCTGTTATTTTAATTAAAATAATTTAAAAGACATGATTCAGTGGAATACAGGTTAGTGTGACCATATTTGCGTTTGCCAAAACCAGGACACCGTACGGGGAGTGGGGACTCGTCATCGACATTGCGCGACTCTCACCTGGTAAAGCTTTTTCCCACTGGACACCGAAACATATGTTCCTGCTTTGTACACTGTGCACATGGACTCACACTTGGCCCGAACGCAACGGAAAGCGTGGAATTTCTTGTACAACTCATCGTTAAATACGCATTTGTGCTTCGGTACGCTGCAGACTGACCGAATGTTTGTGTTTGCTCGCTTCTTCTGAGTGCAGAGAGACACATGTACAGACCCCTGTTTGGTCACGCTACGCACAGCAACCTACATTCGGTTTGTCGATTAAAATTAACGTAATCGATGAAATTCTTAATGATCAATTATCGATTAATCGATTAATCATGCCCATCCCTACTATGCGGTCTACATCCCTAATTTAAAGACCTTATATTACACAAAATTTACTCTTGAGCTTTAAGCCATATTAGACTATTGTTACCTCATCAAAAACATACCATTCACACATGTTAGAGTAACCCTTTATTATTAGTCAGTGAGTCTACATCTCCAAAGCTCAAAATGCTCTGTACCATCTTGTGATGTCATGAATTGGTAGCTTTCAAGTTAAGAGCTACCTTTTACCTTTTGTTCAGTAGAGATTTGCATTTCCAGGGCTGAAATTATTCAAATGATAGTGAAGCTGAGTGTAAAAACACAGTGGAGCATTTCCTGTATTACCACATGATTTCACAAGGTAGAACAGAGTGTTTTCTGTTTAAGGGAAGAACTCAGCCTAAATATGCAGGGTTTCTGTGTTAAACATGTGTGAATGAAACAAAACACAACTCCAGGTCTGTTTGTGATAAGGGAACAATATTATAACATAGATCAGAAAATAGCATAATGTGGCCCTTTAAAGATTGTTGTATTTTATCCAAACATGATCAGACCAAGGCAGGAAGCCGTTCGTTTGCCTGGCCATGCGCTTTCCATTGTAAACCCATATGCTCTTACATTTATCATTGCAATGTCAGTATAAGGTTGAGCTGACCTCAAAAGTCATTTATCATACTTTCAAGAGTGCAAGCGTGGGCTCTACAAATTAAATTCTGCTTCTGTTACATCTAGAAAACATGTACAAATGAGGTCGTATTCTAAAGTTTTGAGACTGGCTACCAATGGAAAATAGACAAATTGGTCACAGCCCTAATTGAGCACATTCACATTTTGTATTATTTATGTCGAGATGATAAACATGGTATGCCTACACTCAGTGATGGGAAGAAAACTTTGAAAATGCATGCAAGTATTTTTATGACACAGTCCAATCAGAGTATTGTATTTTGAATACTTTTACACTGAGTTGTATTTTATCATAGAGTAAAAAACACAATCTAGAATTACCAACATCTTTATATTTGTTGTTTGTTTGTTATACATTTATTTATATCCAATTAAAGATGAAAAATCACACATGCACTCACTGCAATAGCTGTGTTTTTTGGTACATATATTCTATTACTTACTACTTACTATTATTTGATTAATATAGTAGTGTATATGTCAATCTAACGCATGTTTCCCTGCTTTTGTGTTGCTGTAGGAACTCTTCACAGCAGAGTGCAAGTTCAAAGAGTCGGTCTTCGAGAACTACTATGTGATCTATTCATCCATGTTGTACAGACAACAGGAGTCAGGGCGAGCGTGGTTCCTAGGGCTTAACAAAGACGGACAAGCCATGAAGGGGAACCGAGTGAAGAAAACCAAACCAGCTGCTCACTTCCTGCCCAAGCCATTAGAAGGTATGTCCTCCACTGACCCCTGCTTCGGTCACTAAGGTTATACCTAATACAGAGTCGACATGCTTGTGGATTTATGGTTTATTTTGCTGTAGTAAGCAGACAGTAGACAGGTCTGTGTGCTGATTGTCTAGTAGATGCCCTATAGCTCTTGTCAGGCCACACACTGATTGCGCCCCATCATTTAAACATGAAATCAAGATGAAGTGCACTATCAGAGTGGAAATACAGCCGTGAAGTGAGGCACTTCCCTGTGGACCTTTGTGTCTTTGTCATCTTTAGTCAGCAAACCACAGATCTTTTGAGAAAATAGGAGCACCTCATCTGTCTCTCAAAAGGAGTGACTGGATTTCATTAACCTGTTACCATCCACCTAATTTTGCGTGTGCACAATAGCACTACATACCCAAGTGCCATAGCTTATTAAAAGAAAACCTTAGAACCCACATGCTTGTGTGAGGCACCATTTTAAAGCTTAGGCCTTCTAGTTTCTGTAGATATGCATATGAAGACTGTGAGTGCTGCCTAACCTACAGTACAGTCAATTAAAGATTTTATTTTTTTGCTTTGAAAAAACAATTGAAAAAAATAAAGGCCTTAGCTTGGACATACTTCATGCTAGGCATTTGTGACTCACTACACTCATTGTTCAAGTTGTTGGCAACAACTGTGTAGAATTTCAGACCTCTAGGATAAAGGGTTTTGATGCTGTGAGCCTTTGTTTATACAAAATGACAATTCGGCACAAGATTGCCAAATTTGTGCCAAAATAATAATAATAATAATAATAATAATTGTTATTATTATAATACTAATTCTTCTGAGCTTTAGGCATGTTTTCTCAAGAAAAAAACCTAAAAGTAGCCAAAATTGTCCTCCAAGTGCCAGATGTGCCCCCTTGGCCCCTCCCGCTCTCCTTGTCTGTGTCCCTCCTGTTTTGCGCATGAAAACACAGGGCCCGTTTCAAAGGCTATCTGCATGTCCCACCCACCGTTTGAAAGCTCTGCTGATAGGCTAAAACAATATGTCAATCACTTTCTGGAAGATCCAATGACTGAAGAGATTTCCCGTAAACAAACTGATGACGCGTGGGTAAAGCCAGGAAGTACGTAAGTGCGTTAGCTTCTTCAGCGGCTTGTCCCAGCTAAACCGCGGCACCGACAACAGCGGGGAGGGTCTCATTTTGAAGCTAAGAGTGTGAGGAAAACAAGCGTACCCAAGAGCGCCAAGAGAAACGGAAGTCAGAGAGGGAGAAGGCTCGGAAAGGCAACATATATTTTCATTCACGCTTTCATCCATTTATACGGACGAGAATTTTCTGGATAATTTACCCATATGGAATTATTTTATGGAAAAAACAACTTGATATTCTTTTTCTGTGGGTTATTACGGATTTATTGAGTACAACTTTTCATGGATTGAACGCGGCTCAAAGATAAGAAACGCGTATCTTATTCTTTGATTATGATGTGAATTTTTAAGTTATCGCGTTTTGGGCTCGTTGTACTGCATAAAATGAATGATATGGTTGTTTTATTGAGAAATTAAGCTTTCAAACGATGTATGGCATGCCAGTAGTGAAAACAATAATGAAGGTGAATATACAGAGTGAACATTTTTTATTGGAAAATCGCCCGCCGGCGAGCGGGTGGATTAAACAGTAAAAAATGAGCAATAAAATAATGTGGATGATTATGAATGAGTTGGTTGGTAGTTTTGCTCAGATTTTGCTGATCAGGTAGCAGTTGCCTGATGCTACCAGGAGATGGTTGTTAAATAATTGTTAACAAATGATACTAGACCCAGGTGAATAGATGTTTGATTAGAAGTTTACTGATCAGTATGCTTCACTTCACATCCAAAGATTCACATAAGTCAGTCATAAGAGACGACACACATATACAGTACCTGTATGCTAATGAGAGTAAAAATGGGCTTACATATATGAATATATGAGTTCTAAGTACAGCAGACATATTTTAAGAATGTAGCAGAGGAGAGAGACATGTCCATCTTTGGGGTCCTGGAGTAACTGGAAAGTGCAGAGCTTAGTTATGTCTGTTTAAGTTAAATATAGATATAGGCCCACGCTGGGGGTTGAATATGACTTTTAGCATACATAGAAAATAACAATTCACCTGTAAGACTAATTTGATTTATAAAATTATGCTTTCAACAACCTCCGGTACTGTCATTGTGTCTTTGGACAAGACACTCGACCCTGCTAATGTATGAATGTGTGTGGGAGTGGGTCTGTGTTTTAAGTTGAAATTGGAAAAGAGCTATTAAAAATGTGACCATATCCTATCTATGTGTCTCTGTGTGTGCAGTTGCCATGTACAGAGAGCCATCGTTGCATGATGTAGGCGAGACAGTCCCCAAGGCGGCGGTACCTCCCAGTAAAAGCACAAGTGAGCCTGCAGTGATGAACGGAGGGAAACCAGTCAGTAAGCCTGACAAGCCCCCGACATAGCCACACCTCAGGCTGTGTCTGCAGAGAGGAGGAACAACCACACGAGGCAGGGCTCTCCTAAGCGGACTCTTCATCATCTCTTCTGTGGACAGGATCCTGGTGGCCCTCCTCTCTCGTCTCGCCCCTTTTCCCTCTTCTCTTCCTCCAGACGGTCTCAGATTTGTGGGCAGTTTCTCCAGGATGAGAGGGAAGAGGACTGTGTTCATGGAATGCCTTTCAATTCCTCAGAAACTGTGACAATTCATTTGAATAATACATGTTTTACAGCCACACACTGGTGGTACTTTGCTTGCTGACGGTCCTCCCTGCCCTGTCTCTAAAGCCCTTGCAGCAGAGTGTGTGTACCTTCAGATCTATTTTCTATACCACTGTCACCAGCTACGTTCTGGGATAGAGACTGTATAGCTAGACAAAATATTTGGACTGTAGTCCTCTATTTTTTACAAGTATGTTCCCCTTGTCCCTATCTTTCTAATCTCACACTTTTCTCTTTGTCAGATTGTCTAGAAAAAAAAACAAAAAAACATTTTTTTGCAGAGGAGGAGTGTGATTTTTTAAGAATTGCGTTGACACAGATGTGGCATCAGACAAACACGCAGACACACTGACAGACACAGAGGGTTTGTGGGGATCTTAGATGTTGTTTTTACAGCCCATAAAAACACACAGGAGGCTGGGAGATCGCTCCTGCAATCATAGTTGATGAAGTGCTAATTACCGCCACTGCAATCAATGCAAGGAGCTCCCTTCACACATACACACACAGAGGATGTGCGTGTGAGCGCGATGTAGAAAATGGTGTATACATATCACTGGAGTCCCACCAGCGGTTCAGCCTGTCCGCTCTAGTAAAGAAAACCTGAGTCTATTTTTCTTTAGTCTGATTTCTGAGCATGGGCTCCAGGAATATCTCTAGGCCTTGTAGGCCTCTGTCCCTCTGCAGTACAAGGCTTATGGCTTTGACCCACAGGTCTGCAGCACTGGCAGCCATGTCATGGCAGCACATAGCCAGAAAACAACATGGCTGACACCATCGGTGATAATTATACTGGCTGCGTAACTATTTGGTTCAGCAAATAAAGCATGGACAGAATAACATTATGTTCTCTTCTTGCAGCTGTTATACACGAGATGGCTTCTATTATAACGTTTTCACTGTATAAATCCTAAGGACAATGACAAATACAAATCATAAGTTTCTAAATGACTAGATAATATGATTATTAATAGATGATATGTCTCCTAGCTCAGCATGCAGAGTCCATAGAGATCATCTTGGCCTATCCTGTGCCTGTTGGACCTGACTCCCGGCATGCAAAAACAGGTTCCCAGTCCCCACTGGGCCAAAGGTGCCTCACCCAAACACCCACACTCCCCTAGAGGACACGTAGCATTCACCACCACTCAGAAATGACCAAAGCCTTTTTCATCCCAGAACTGATTCTTAACACAACAATTCTGATTCAATTGACTGGAGCTTTCACTGTGATAGCATCTGTTCAGTTTTTGAAAGAATCTCCTCCTCTCAGACCTTGAGTTCAAAAACAAAGGTCTGGCCTGATGTCATTTTTCAGAAGTATGTATATCTTGACTTACTCACGTGCATGTCTTTTCTATAAGGAACAACGTGTGGGGCTGGGCTTTAGTAGTGTGGGAGATGAATGGGCATGTTGTAGGCTATGGCACATTCACAGCCAACCTGAACCCACGCCACTTTCTGTTTGCATTCCCATCTTCTGTTTTTCGCATTTGAAGACTGTTAGCAGTTTCTAAAATAGGATCAATCAATTTGTATTTGTCTTGCTTTAAAATTTATATTGATAATAGATTATATAAGAACGACTAGAATGTTGCTGCTGTATGCTGCTAAAACTGCAACTTACATTATTTTATATTATTTCCACATTGACATTTCTTATTACAGCACATTGAAGCACATGACATGAATTTGCCTGTTAACTATAAAGAACTGGAGACCACTATACTTCTTAAGGGGGCTGATTTTTCAATCCTTTTTATGGCATCTTCTTACCCTGTTAACTCTACATGCTGGGCTGGTGGTCCTAGCCCTGCAGACCCAAATAAAACTGGCTGACTTTATTTTTGTAAATGACTGGTGTGTAAATGTTCAGATCTCTGTAACCACTTGTTCATTTGGTTTCTTTGTCTGTTTGGATCATTTCTCTTGTATACGGGTCGTGTGTGATGTTGTCTCCAGACTCCAAAAACATCCTTATTTTTTCCTAGTAATTCCTTTGTGCTGTTTTAATTATTTGTCCCATCTGTTGCATGGGAAGAGGATGGCATTTGAAGAACTGCATGTAGTAGGCTATGTCTATCAAGAACTGTTGGTATCGCTAATTTTACTTACATATATGCAACATGTTTGTCTACACTATACAGTTTGTGTTTGGTTGTATACATATATACAACATGTTGAATAAAATATTTATATAAAGGTGTACTGTAATGTCAGTAACATACTTAATAATGCAATATAGTGTGCAGTATATTATTGCACCTGTCGTTTCGATGGGGACAGAGCAAACCAAGGCGGTTGGCTAGTTTAAGCATGAAAAAGGCCAAAGTAGAATTTACATTAAATTTTCTTTGTGACTTTATCTGCTCTTTTCCAATGGTGAGTGAGCTCTTGTGCAGATGCAGCTCCATCCCCTTCCTCTGGAGTGACATGGACATCCAGCATGCCCCGACTGAAATATGTATGCCCTAACTCTTTCAGTTTGTCCACTTACAGTCACTAGATTGATTTGAATGACAAGCGAGTACCTCTGAGAATGGCAGGTACAGGTTCCATGGCAGATTGTAAATGATTGCTTTGGCAAAGAATAAGGCACTATTAAAATGATTTATTTTCAAAAGAAATATCTATATATGATATATACCATTGCAAGTATGCCCATTAAAGTTATGTCATGTTATAACAACTTTGTAACCATGTATGATTAAGGTCTTCGCATTCTTTTTCATGCAAAATGTTTGTGTCATGCGGCACATTTAATGTTTTATTATGAAAAAGAAATAAAAACCTCAAACAGTACCTTTGACTGAACTTTTGCTGCCAACTGGGAAAACTGTTAAAAACAGGCTCACATGCACACGCAATAAGCCAAGGGAATTTAAAATATACATGTTCAATTAATTTGGCCCATTGTCTAGACTTCTTGTACTCAAGTATATTACAGCTAATGTCATACATGAAACTGTTAAATGTTTCATTGCATGGTGCATGTTTAAACACAAAATTAGTATTGCACTGACATCTGCCCCTTTCAAAACGGGACTGGTTCATAGTCTTATACAGTCCTTCCACCAAATAACAAAATAAGTATGCTTAATATTATTTATCACTTTAAAATAAAAATAATCATATAATGGAATAACAGATTTTGAATGGTCAGGCATGTTTTTTAGGAATTATCCCTTAAGCAGAGGACATCTGAAGACTACAATAAAATGGACTTAAAAATAGCCACCAAAATAGTTGAACCAATCACCTGCAACTGGCATCATTTGTGACTTCTCACTCCAAGTTCCCATCTGTATGTGGTGTTAAACAGGTTAGAGCTATATGGCCTTTGGATCAAGTCCTTAAAATTTCGTTTGGTCTGCAGTCTCTTCTCCACAGGGCGGTGGTCCTGGTCACTCCGGGCAGCCAGGGCTCGGTCAGGCGCTCGTCAGTACTCTGCCCCCACCCAGATCTCACACGCGTTCCCTGTCCAGCCGTCCCAGCACTCACAGCTGCCACAGTTACACAGTCCATTCCCTGTGAGAGAAGTGAGAGGAAAAGCTGTGAATTAAACGCACTGCACCATCATGGCCGACCTTTAACAGGGTTCGTCTCTTCACACCCCTCGTCCCCCGGCACAGCTCCGATCTCCAGGAATAGAGGCAGGAAAAAAAACTTGGGCCACAGTTCGGTCAGATGCAGAACATGAACAATTCTGCTGCATTAATGAAAAGAAGGTCTGTAGTAACACAACCTTACAAATGACTCCCTTGCATTTTAATAATAGTTAAGTTATTAAATGTGCAAGATGAGAAAATATAGTTATGTCCAAAAACACCCAATAGCTTAAAGTTGTACCTTCATTAATTAATAAGGATTGACCAATAACATTATGTAACTGTGAATACAGATATAAATTCATATATTGGCAAGTTATAGGTAAGCATTTTTCTGTTGTACTTTGTAGTAAAGATTGATACTTGACAGCTGATCACATCTACCTGGCAAAAAGATTTGGATATCCTAGACATATTTCGTAATTGCCTTTTCATGTAAGCCACTGTAATGTTCATATCATTTGCATAGCGTAATTATCATATATATAGTCCAGTCAGTAATATGGTAATGAGGAACATTTACAAGATGCCATATGTGATTTTTTTCCTCATAAGCAGCGTTAGCACGTGAAACCGCCCACGTCCGATTGACATTAAGGCTGACATTTGGGTTTGTGAAATCATGACGAGGAGCACCTCTGTGTTTTGACAAGCCTGGAGTCAAAATCATTACCAGCATACACAGTCCTGGATATTTACAGTGATGTGATGGCTGGGTCCCATATGCAGCTACTGTAAACTGGACATTTTTCTCAGCTTGATAAATGTACAGTGGAGCGGTTGTACCTGTGCAGATAAGACCATCATATTTGTCACAGTCCCTGTCGTCACACTCGCAGTACTCCCCAGACACCCACCACTCGTGAGGAGAGCAAATGCATTGGCCACAGTGACAGGAACCTGAAAACACAGCAGACAGCACAACACTGTTCATTTACTGCTTCCATCCAGCCTTGTAACACTTAGCAATAAACTGACGAGGCTAAGGATGAAGACCACAGACAGGTGAAGTGCACAATCTGTCTCTACATCATTACACGTGTTAATGTGACAGGGATTATGTGAGTCTGGGCCAAATTTTGACTTATAGCATCTTCAGCCCCTAGTCTGTAGTGATACCATAGACCAGGAGTGTCAAACTCAAATTCACAGAGGGCCAAAATTAAAAACTGGGACTAAGTCGTGGGCCAAACTAAATATTTATTGAAAATTTTCAGCAACATCTGCATGTTTTCTCTACTTTTGTGATATGTACTGTTAAATCTTTTCTTATTAAAATAAATGTTAACATTTTAAATAAATAATGTCTCTATAGCCTGTTGCCAGAAGGCCAGCTCTAATACATATTTGATATGAACTCGCAGGCCAAATATATTTATATCGTAGGCCAAATTTGGCCCCAGAGCCTGAGTCTGACATGTCTGCCATAGGCTGTATAAAGAAGTGGACTGGCGACACCCATAGCTTCGCCTCCAATCAATTGAAGCTCACAATGCAGTTATAGGAGTTATAGGAGCAGTCATAGGAGCAAATGTGGAGTTGAGTTCCATATTAGGAACTGGAATTTATTTACGGACAACATAGCAAAATAAAAAGACCAGGATCATGCAGAGAAGGTTAATACAGACATTTTAAGATCAAAATTACGAGGCTCACTGCAGCAGATAGAGAGAGGGGTGACAATTTTTCAGTGTAAAATAAATTGGAGCAAGAGTTGATGGAGCCGGAAGTGCCCCCATGGTCACTTCCTATTTGGAATGCAGCAGTTAGTGGAGCTATCTCCAATTATAGCAGTGAAGTGGAGGCCAGTCTGGAGACAGGTGCAATAATGAGATAATTCAATACATATATAATGTTCTTATATAAAGAGTGACACACCACTGTCAATGTTTCGCTTTGACGTACCTAAATACGTCAGAAGTATTAAAATCAATGTGATATTTTGGTTTATTAGTATACTATAATACTTTTTTCCTAGATTAGTACTGCATCTAGAGCCTTCCCGCAAGGAACAACCACTAATTCACTTGTGTCACCAGGATACAGGCCGCCCACACTTTAAACTTCCTGTCCCTGCAATCAGAGCCTATTTTTCTCAGTGACGGGCCAGCTGCGGGATAACAAGGTGCTAAGGATTAGAGGAAAGGCAGGCTGCTAACAGGGAAACAAATCTTCTCGTGTCAGATGTGTCTTCTTGATCCACATCTCACAGTTCCTCCAAGTACCTTTTCAATCTTGCCCTAATTTTATCAACCGAGATCCTGCTATTAGAGCAGGACAATAAGAGACACAGAGGTGAGAGGAAAACCAGAAAACTGTTGGTGAAGAGGTAAGAATGCTTGTTTTTAACATTTTGAGGCCAGAACCATTTCAGACTTAAAAATACATTCTTATTACGCTAAATTGACTCTAGTGACCATTAAGCCAGGTTATAATGCTATTACCTTCACAAAAACACACCTGGAGTTGTGTTTTATTTCATTCACACATGTTTGAGTAATCCTGCATTATTACTCTGTACATCTCCAAAGCTAAAAATGCTCTGTTCCACCTTGTGATGTCATGTAGTGGTAGATTTAACAGCTATCTTTGCTTTTAGCTTTTATTCAATAGAGACTGCCGCTTCATTCCAATATAAAGTTTAAGCCATTGATTCGTTTATGCATCTCCTTTTCTCTAGTTACTTTAATCCTAATAGACTGCCTCCATGTGTAAGTGAATGCATTTAAGAGAAGTGAGCTGCTGTAATTTTAAAGTGGCGAAGGCATAGGATAAGCCTAACACAGCTCACATACGGTAGCTGTTTATAACCTGGTAGCCCCCAATAATATACACTACTGATCTAGACATATCCTCCCATTCAATGTTCTTTATGTTACCAATTTTCTTAAATGAATACACATACTGAAAACATTAAATGAAGCAAGGTGTATGGAATTCTATAGCAACATGTTGAATATATAGTTTTATATTTAAGCTTCAGATTCCTCAAAGTAGCCACCCTTTACACTGCAAACCCTTTTCATTTCACCTGAAAATGGTTTTCACTTTACCTATGTGCTTTGTCAGGGTCAGGGAATGTCATGAATATGCATAGGAAATAAAAGGATGGCTATTTTAAAGGATCTAAATAAATAAAATATATTTTGAGTTATTTCGTAGCATTGTGGTAGATAGAGGTCAACCAGTATGAATTTTTTAATGGCCAATGCTGATTGTTTAGAATCCAGAGTTACCAATGGCTGATGAGCTCTGCCGATATTTTAGGCTGATATTATTTTCCTCAAATTATGTAACTCAAATTTATTCCCCCAAGCCATTCTTTACCACAAGCCTGTAAGTGTGCAGTTATCTCTTCGTCCTGAAGTGTTCAAATCAAGCTTTATGCATACTTTTTAGGTAGAAGGTCAGCCAAAACAACAAATTGACCTCTGCTGGAGGTTTAAGACTGATAGCTGATACATAAAAAAATTTAAAATAAAATAAAATAAATAAAAAACAAACCTTTCCCACTGCAAACAACCCCATCAGAGGTCTCACACATCTCCTTACTCTGGGCATCACTCAGGTCACACGCCCTCGCGAACTGGCACTGCTTCCCAAACCAGCCGTCCTGACAGATACAGCGGCCGCACGAGCAGTACCCGTGACCTGTGCAACAGAATCACATTTTATTTCAATACAAAAAGTATTTACACTTTTTGTTGACATGATACACACACTTATAAAACACACCCTCAAGAAAATCCAGCTAATCCATTCATGGAGATAAGTCAAGATGGATGCCGCCAAAGAGTAAAAAGATAACAAGAAGCCACATAAACAGTGAGCGGTGACAGTGAAGATGGCGAACCTTGACACTAATAGGCAGCACAAGGAGACAGAGCAGTGCGAAGATGAGAGAGATGCAGCAGGCTTATTGTATTTCTCTTGGGGACATGAAAGCAACTGTCATCATTGGTCTTGTCCGAAGCTTAATAAATCTCCAGCCCTTCAGAGATGAGATGAAAAACAATGACAAACAGTGGTGCATGTAGGGAAACACACACACACACCCACATGCACACATGCACATGGGTACACATATACAGAAAGGACTGGTTTAATTGGTTTGAAGGGGGAGTATGGATGGCATAATAAACAACAGACTAGTATTTTAACAAGCTCTGTGTACACACATGTATCACTTATGTCCCCCGGGAGAGTCTGATCAGTCAACTCTCACAGACATGGTTTTAAATCATCTGACAGAGAGAAGGCAGTGTCATTGATTCTTTCCATTATGTTCACAGACACCAGGTTGAAGAGGTGATGATGAGAAGAGCTATTTGCTATTATTTCTGCACCTATAAATCTATACAGTACTGTGCTGCTACAGGGGCTTTTATTAGGGGATGTATAGATTTAATTAAGATGTAATTTTGTACAGTGCACAGACAATACATGCAATATGATTACATTCACTACCAGAGTGGTGTTCAGGCTTGATTGCTCTATTCTGTTTTGCAGTTTATGAGGCTGTAAGACCTACATGAGTTTCCCATATACTTTATTGCGTATGCACCAGTGTCAGTATATGTGAAGGTTGATTTACTTATTATTTAAATTAGCTGAATCAAAAAGCTACATATGCAAACTCATGTTGCCTTTCTGTAAAAATTCTTCTCTAAATTCTTTAGTTATATCCTCTGCAGTGTTTTGGTATAGTGCAGTAACTTGTTTGTTGTCCTTCCCTCTGTGCATTGCCTGACACTGGTTCAAAATTGTTCTGTCCTAAGAGATACAGGTAGATACAGACCACTGTAGACCAGCAATACCACACAAGAGCTGCACTTTAACAGATCACATGTCAAATTCTCTGAAAAAAGCCATTGTGTTTGAATACTATTTGCAATTGCTACTATATATTCCTACCAAAAGATGAAAACATACGCTGTTCATTCACTTCACCTGTAAGTGGTTGCAATTGTGTGCTGAATCAGATTGCCAGATTGTTACATTACTGTATTGCTGGTTGTATCTACTTTGTGATATAATGTTGTATAAACATACCATGCAGTGCCTGACAACCTGAGGAAAAACAAAGCAACTGGAATACCCATCTAAGTGTCAGCTAATTTTAAAAGACAATTATGATTAATGTGGTCTATGTTGATTATTCCAAAGGAAAGGTTTTAGTCCAGAAGGTGTGTATAAAGTGTCTTTTGTGACAGTGCTTTCACCTGACTCCTGACTGACAGCTATGGCAGGGAATGCATGACTGCCTCAATCAGCCAGCGACAGGGAGAACCTAATTGCTTTGGAGGAACATCTACCTGGGTCCTCATTCAATTAGCTCCCACTAAGCTTCCACAGAGCCCCACATCGTACTGGTGTTTGCCTGCTGGAGTGTGGAGGGAAGACTAAGGCCTGGGGTTTAGTCTGCTCAATCTACTTTGACCCCATAACCATTTTTTTTACAACCACACTTGCTTTAAAATGTTTGAAACAGCCATAATGAATAGTGAGTGTTTCAGTTCACATTCTATCCTCAAAATGTTTGGTTTAACTCTATTTTGTTCAAACCAAATGTATGACAAAAGCTCAAAAGATAGTGAGATCCCATCTCTAATGGCAACAATCAATCATTTTGATCAATTCTCTTGACAATATTTATGTAATTAAAGTCCCTGTCATTTACAACAAATCTAAAAAAAAAGCCAATTTGATTGACAAGCTGTTATGAAAGTGTTTTCTTTACAGACGTATTGGCTGTATTGATCATAAAAGAAAAGATGGATAATACCCTGTTGTAGATATATATATATATAAATAGCACAAACTGAATATTGAACCTAAACCAGAGAGATAAAACTTGCAAAGAGGAAAATTTGGCACCTCTTTATAAGAGCTACACTTGAATAAGCTTTAATAAAGCATGATAATATAATAATATACAAATAGTTTATTAAGAATGATTCAGGCTTGGAAACTACTCAATAAGAGGTTCTGGTTAGGAGTTAGGTTATTTTTAAGTAATTACTAAGCCTGCATCATTCTTAATAAACTATTTGTTCATTATGAATGAAGTGTTCATGCTTCATTAAGACTATTATAGTCATCATTAACTGTTAATAAAAATGAATTTTCCCAATACAACCAGTCCCATTTCCCAGGCCACATTCACAGCTCTTGTTAGCCCTCACATGTTTCTGTTGGTGTGTGATGGTGCATACTCACTCACCTCCGCATACCTCTCCGCTCAGGTCCTCACACTGGCGGTCGTCACACTCACAGTTTTTACCATGAACTCGGCTGTCCCCTGGAGGGTGGCACGTACACTGACCACACAGGCACTGGCCTAAAAGCAGAGAGACTTTTACTACACTGCAATATTTTAGCTTTAAAAATAGACTGTCCTGGATTGATGATGTGTCTCTCACTCACACATGTAGTAGTATTTTTGAATCAATCATGTTAGACCCCCACACATCCCAGCATGTCGAAATCCCACTTCAATCAGAGTGCTGCTGCTGCTGAAGAAGACTACAGGGAACATATTGAGTGAGCATGCACACAGCTAATGGTGCTCCTCATTATAATACAAAACTATCTGGTAACTTAAGGGGCTAAGCAACATGTGTTCAGACAGACAGCTGATAAAATTGGGTATGGGTTTTTATGAGTTAGGGCAGAGGATCTTTCAATTTGAGCTGTAGGAGTAAATTGAAATTCTAATCAGTTTCAGTGCTACCCACTTTTGACAACCACTTTTATTTTCTCAAACACTGAGATTTTTAATGCAATTTGATTTCAAAGTTAGAACCGTTTTTGAGCCATTACTTCTGGTATGGTAAGGTACACTTTAAAGGGCACATATTGCACTAGTTTCTGATCTATCATAATGTTGATTCCTCATCACAAACATACCTGGAATGGTGTTTTATTTCATTCACATATATTTAGCACACAAATCCTGCATACTTAGACTTACTTCTTCTCTCAAACAGTAAATTTTGTGTAAAAGAGGACCTTTAATGTATCTGCTGTAGTCTTACTTCTCCTCCTTTCCTCTCAAATTCATAACAGGCTTTCCAAATAACTCTGAAAAAATTACCCTGTCTGTTTTTAAACCAGCAAAGTTGCTCACAGGCAAAGCCAAAGGTCTACATGCTTTGCTGTTGTTGAACGCTTAAACTTAACATTGTGTTCCTCCAGCGTAGAAATTGGAGTCAGCAGTGACAAGAAGCTGCATGCACATTACTACTGTATCTGGAAGCTATTGTCTTCACACAGGATCCAGCAGTTGGAATAATATCAAGGACTACACAAGAAAAAGCACTGTGAAAAGTGAAGGGCATCTGAGTTCAGTGTTTATCTCTGCTACTCTGACCCCACGAATCCCACATAAAACAGATGCCATATAAAAGGATAAGAAGCACAGATATGAGTTGTCTTGGAGTGCTGCCTGTCAGATAAGTATACAGACTGAATAGCTCTACCATCAGTATAACCAAGCTTGGGAAAATTGTACTAAGAAATGAAACAATCATGGAGCTTTACAATCACGGAAGAAAACATGTTATGAATTTAGTTGTTATAAAATACACAATTGTAGTGTTTTAGAGATACACTGCATAATTTGTCATAGTGGAGGAGGCTTGTCTCCATGGAAATGTTGTTGCTTGGTGAGTCTCCACCAGAAAAGTTACACAATGCACCTTTAAAATTGACTGCATTTCTACATATGAGATACAACTTAACTAAAATTAGGCAAATCAAACTGATGCACGTTATGACCTAAAACCTAAAACTACAGAAGCTGAATTTGTGAACATTGCCTGGAATCAGTTGCCACGGTGAAGTGGATTTATCTCGATATAAAACTTCAGGTAAGTGACCAACATGAAAAATAATTGCACTTGGTGATTCTTCAGCTCACTGGAGGCAGCACCCAGTTTTATTGAGCCGGCTATATCCTTTTGTACAGTCATTATTCACTTGTGTTTGTGGCCCTGCAGGCTGCGTTTTGTATAGCACATTTCTGTTTAGTTTATTCTATACCTCATTGGGTTGAATTATGGCAAATAAACACCAAACTTTGACAGTCAATGACCCGCTTTGTTGAATAAACTTGTCAACTTTTGGGGATTTCACACAAATTCACAGGCTTGCACTCTCTCATATTGGAAACACCATCTGCTCTAGATACGAGTTACCATGGCAACCAAATGATGACATAATCCGGGCCTTATCAATTATATCTATACCTGTCAGCACCGTTTGTGGGTGTAAGTATAGACAGGTGGTCGAACATAATGATTATGTGTCAATATATATTTAGAGCATCAAATCATTATCAGGTTTTGTCATGTATACATATTGTTTTTCTTTAATTTAAAGAAAAAATGAAGTAAGCAATGCATTAAGAATTAATGAAAAAAAAAAAAAACGTAAAAAATTTAAATATAGTCCCATTATATTATATTTTGCTGTTTGTCTAAGTTATCATTGATTGAGGCAAGTTAACATTTATATATGTATATATATATATATATATATATATATATATATATATATATATATATATATATATATATATATATATATATATATATATATATATATATATATATATATATATACACACACGCATATATTTTTTACAATTATAAACCTATGATGAACTCTAACCTTGTTTTCCAGAAGGAGCAGAAGCTATCCTTTGTGTCCACAGACGTATATTGTTTCACATTTAGCAATTGCCAGTCATTTGTCATTGGTCCAATCCAGTTATGATTTAATCAGATCAATCTGAAGGACCACCCACATATTCATGAATACACTATTTCTTTGGAGCCTAAAACTGCCTGTTGACCTAAGCTTTGAAAGAGTTACAGTAAATAATTTGAGCACATTTACGGTATAGGGGGAGGAATTTCAGGAATCAGCAGAAAGATGTTGAAAACAGGTGTTTCCTTGAGGAAATACCTGGGTATAAAGAATGTGCTCCTCGCCGCCGTCTCTCAGGAAGAACTACTCTGGAGCTGCTGTTTCACATTTCAAGGCTTTCCGCTCACTGCCATCTGCATCGGCACACTCATCCATGCCTAAGTGATTTTCTACGTCTGTCTCCTCCACTTCTGCCCCTCTCCTTCTCAGCTCCCATCCCGCACCCTGTCCCCCTTCACTGGGTTAACCACACACCACCTCCTCTGGTCCATTCTGGTTCATATCTGTGCCATTTATAGTGTAGTCCAACAATGGAGGCTTTAAGATCACTTATTTACAACCTCTGCCGTCAACTGAAACACTAACCTTGAATTTACACTCCACTGGTAGATAAAAAACATTTCACATTTCTATATAAACACATTACATTCAGATGTGAGGAGTCCATTTATACATTTGCATTTGTGTAACCACATTAACAACTAGCTAACAAAAATGTGTTTATTGATTTGCAGCCAATACAAATATCACCAAATGGACTAGTGGGACTTATGAAAGCAAATGTGTTTTTTAAATTGAATTGAATTTATGGATTCAATTAATTACTTGATTGTGGTGGGTAATTTAGAGTTTCATTTTGTGCCAACAATTGGAGATAATTTAAGTTAAAGGCCACAGGTATTAAAGGTAATTGACTTTACACAAGCCCAAGTTAATCTCAGCTGTTTCATTATGCAAGTTCTCTGTGTTGTAGTGCATTTAACATGGCCTTGTTGATTTTTTTACTGAGCAATAAACATATTCAAAAGCAGTTCTCCAAGTAGGGCTAGGCAATATGCTATTTTGATTAGATATTCATATTGTGATGCAGTGCTTCTTTGTTTAATGCAGTGCTGCTCAAATACAGACAGCATACATCGCTCACCCTATTTTCAAGCATACTATTATTTCTGATGCTAGGATTTTGTAGACTTAACGTCTATATGACAGTTAAGTCAGTGCAGTACACCCACTCCTCTCCTTTTATTCCTTTGCCATAGCCATGTTTAAACAGCTGAGAGTCCCCGGCGATTTCCTCCACCCACAGTCAAATGAAACAGGAAATCAATGCTAAACATTAACCCTGATAAACCCAATGGGTGTTTAGATCTAACAGCTTCTGGCCTCAGTAGCACTCACAGACACACAATAAAGTATCAGTTTCTTATTCCCACAGCCAAAGGTGTAAGTCCTGGATTTTGCTCTTATAAGTGCTCAAAAACCCGGACAAGTCCTGTCCAGTGGAGTAAAGCTGATTGATTAAAGCTGCTGTATCAGTGCAAATTCCAGGTCCAAGGGATATCACCAAGACGATCTGTGATTTATCTTCAAAGACACAAGCTCAGTGACCATTGTGTATTGTTTTAGCTACAAGAACTGCTGGCAAAGCTCTATCCCAAAATCTACTATCAGTATTTTTTTGTTACTGTAGGTCCATTTTATGAAAATCTTACAGGGTATTAACTGTGCACAGCAAAATGGATTTTTGCAAATCTTCACAAACTCACCAGATTCCATCTTGAAAGACTCCTGCTGTAAGATTAATCGGGCGGGCGAACCAATCACAGAGCAGCATTGGTTTTTGCTAAAGCCAAAGGTCATGTGCCAAAGCAAACCAAAACAAATATGGCAACACTGACACATGTACTTTAGCCTATTTTAGCAGCATTAAAGACTATTTTGTCTGTGTAAACATGCAAAAGGTAATGCCTTGTTCATTTGTGGACAGGGAAAATGGCTGTGCTTTTAAATCAACTGGGTGTAACAAAAATTAGAGGCATCCTACATTCCACATCAGATTGATGTGCAGAACTCTAAGTGTGCTCCACACAATCTGGCATGAGCCAGGTTAATAGGGTATAAAACAAGACATGTCCCACAAGATGAGACAAGAAACAAGATTCACAAAAAACTATTACATTTTAACATAATAAATAAATAGTGTATTTCAGTTCCTTATTTGGGCCACAAATTGTGTAATGTATTTGTATTTGTAAAGTGTTTGTGTTTGTTTTTTATTGCTGTTGTGGCTGTCATTGTAATTCTGTTTTTGGGGAAATGGGTAAAAAAATCTCACAAGATATTTTTTCAGATGTGTGCACAATCTTATGGCAGTTTCATATTGTGAGATCCTGTGACACAAAATCTAAAAGAAAAGACAATTCATCCACCTTTCCTATCAGTTAATGCATATGAAAAATAATATAACAACAACACTACTATGTTTCAGGTCTCTTCCTATGGAGAACCAACTCTGAAGATTGCTGTTCTTTTATGATAGTGCCATTAATCTTCAGACTCAGGGGTGCATGACTGGGACAGAGACTCAGGCACAACCTTTGTTAAGTTACAATGGCTTTTCAGTGTAGCTTCAGCAAGAATCTGATTAACTACAGACTAATATTTGGTGGCTCCAAAAAAGTTTATTTTGTCCAGAATAAGCATTAGTGAATCTTACAGCAGACTTTAATAAATCTGGACTCAGTGAACCACAACCACTACAGTTTTAATAGAGAGCTACTCCAGTCATGGCTTGCATTCACTACTACTTTTACGTATCTTTATAAACTAACATAAGGGACACATGATACTGTAGAAGTGCACAGAATTTGACGTCCACATATGGTAATGGTACAAATGAGGTTATAATGTCAGATTGAGGGCATGGGCCTATATGTCTCAGTGAGTAAATTAAAATAACTGTTTTTGTTTGTTATATAATATATAGGCCTTTCATATAATATAAAGTTACAGTGATTTAAGGGGCACAGTACAGACCCGCTGTAGCCATGGTAACAGTGAGGGGTGGGTGCAGGTGCAATACCTCGTCCGAAGCACGGCAGATTGGATGTTCCACGACACTTCTTTAGGCTGCTCTCCACAGACAGGGAGCAAGACAGAGGGTGCTCACACTTCTGCCCTGCCCATCCTTCTTTGCAGTCACATCTGCCACAGTTGCACTGTCCATGACCTGAGACAGAGAGGGTGAACTAAGGTTAAGTGTTATGGAAGTGGAGCGAGAGACAGTTGAGCTATTGATTAGTATCTAAAAGTTTTACTTTTATATAATTGTATAATAAGTCCTAAGTAATAAATAAATAAAACCAACAGTATAAATGCTTTAAGACAAAACATGGTCTATGCTATTCCACTGTTTATGGAACCACATGCAATACAAATATATTACAAATGTAGAACGATATTGTGGCCATACCGGCTTGTCAAAGCCTGATCCCGTCAGATCTCAGAGGCTAAGCAGGGCTGGGCCTGGTTAGTACTTGGATGGGAGACCGCTGGGAAAATCAGGTGCCACAGTGGGCTGCCAGTCGTAAAAAAAAAAAAACTGTTGTTGTGTCCTTAGGCAAGGCACTTCACCCACATTGCCTAGTATGAAAGTGGTGAGTGTGTGAGTGGTGGTCGGAGGGGCCGATGGTGCAGATACGCAGCTGTGCTTCTGTCAGTCTGCCCAGGGTAGCTGTGGCTACAATAGTAGTTTACCACCACTGGGTATGGAGTGAATGAATAATGATCTGTAAAATGTCTTTGTGGCATATGTTTGTGAAAAGCACTATATACATAAAAACTTACTTATTTAAATAAGCCTCAAAAAGGACAATCCTTCAATGTGTTGAGTGCCCCTTGTATACTGACCAGAGCAGAAGTCATCTGTGTAGCGATCGTATGTGGAGAGGCAGTTTCTCTCGTCACATTCACAAGTGTCTCCATGGATGTCCCCCCAGTCTCCAGAGGGGTCCACATCATGGCAGTTACACTCTCCACACACGCACGTGCCTGGACACACAGTGGATTTTTAGAAATGTGTTTGAGCATCTGTCAGAAATGTAAAATTAAAATAAATCAATACATACAACATACATTAATTAACTATTTGCCAAACAGAATACTACTACTACTACTATTAATAATAATAGGTAGTATTCTCTAAATAAATCTAAAACAACCTACTGAAAAAGAGAAAATCCTTTTTCTCTCTTAATCGCAGGGCTGTATAAAGTTTTACACATTGTCTAAACTACCAAGCCGATCCCACAAATGATCTTTTATGTGCTGGTTCTTGGTTCAAGACAGGCCATCAGCTGAGCAGCAGCCAGTGGAAATCCCATTTTCTCTTATCAGGCCTGACAGAGCTCAGGGAACCCCAGGGGAGCCCGTCCAGCTGGCAGGACTCAGGACCTGGGATGGCACATGTCTGGCCCCTGGCTGAGGTCTGCTCTGCTCCGCCTGTCTCTGAAACAGTGGATTTACAGAGTCATTTGTGTTGATGTCTGCTCTAAAGATTACCTCTAACAGGTTTACCACACATACTGCAGAGCCCCGAGCTCTGAATGTCAAACATAAGGAAGCTGATACAGGATATCAAGGATTTCTTATTAAATTAAATATACTATATAAATAGTATTTATCCTCAAATAAAATCTGAAAAATATAAAGGTTACAGCCAAATGAGAAGGTCTGCTATTCTTGTATGTCTTATAGAAGTCATATTGAAAGGATTAATTAAAACCAACATGCCTGCATAATCAACTTGTGTGATCTGGTTTAATCACCTGGAATTATCTTTGCCATGCTTCATAGAAGGATTACTTAAATATTAATGGGAATTGGGAATTACTCAACAATCACCAAATTAACTCCTGTGACATCTGACAAATGATATTCAGAAGTTGCTGTGTAAGAAATGGCTGGTTGGTTGTTCTAATGAAAGAACAGAGATCTCATTGAGAATCAGAGCTTAAAATATCAAATGATTTCTAAGACTAATTCGAATAATGAAGAGACACACAAACACTGATAGAATTTCACAAGTAATACTTCTGATTTTCCTTGGGTTTGGCCAGTCTATAACACAACTAATACGTTGTGAGTTGTGACATTTAAATAATTTGAGCAAAACGCTTTTAAAAGTTGAGTACAGTGTACACCTTTTACACATGTGATTGGACAAACCAAATATGAGTCAGTGTAGCACTTAAAGAAAAAGTGAGTGTGATGTCTGGACATGGTGTGCTGGACCTTAGAGTCAAACAGACCTCTGTTGCTGCAGATTTTGCCATCTGGAGATGTACATCTCCGTTTGCTTTCCCATGGGCTCATGTCGCACTGGAATTCACATTTGTCTCCATGCCAACCAGCAGCACAGAAGCAGTTTCCACAGTAACACTGGCCATGGCCTGGAAGCACATCACACAAATACATCAGGACCACTCAATTTCCCCAATCTTAAAATGAGAAATTCATATTAACCAACGAATACTTCAAAGTATCAAGTTTTTGCAATGAAACTGAACTATCACTGTACTATACGTACATGGCTTTTGGTTTGTCATAAAACGAACAAAAAATACCGCAGTTCTTATCAAACTGTGGGTGTAAGATTGATGGAAGTTTCATAACTACACATTTCTCTTTGGCCAAATTCACCATACTAAACTTGGCTAAAAAAAGAAAAAAAAAAGAAAAAGAAGTAGAGTTCAAACAGATCTCATATAGTAGTGCTGAGGCTAAATGAGATGAGACAATGAAGAGTTGTCTCATCTGTGGTGTTAAAAAATATTGGTCCACATCATTAGAGTTCTGTAGTAAAGGTATGTATAACAACATAAGAACCAAATGCTGAGATAATTCAGATGGAGATCCTGAGAAGGTTGTGGGTGGGGGCATACCTCCACACACCTCTCCACTGTCCTCGTCCAAACACTCGCTGTCATCGCACTCACAGAACTGCCCTGTTATCAGGCCTCTGCTGTCCTCACTGTGACACAGGCAGCTGCCACAGTTACAAGTGCCTGTAAAAGAAGGCACGGTTACCCACTACAACACAAGGAGCAGAGCCTCCTCTGTGCACAATCCACAGATGGGCTGCAGCTGTCAGGGAAAAAAGAAAACTCTTCTTTGCCATATCGTTAGACTTGAGTTAAGATTACACTGGATTTGTGTTCATCTTTTGCTTATGTGCATTTTTCACTCTAATCCTCATTATAGAAGTATACAGATATAAAGGATTTTTGCCATATAACTTCATAATTACTTATAGGGGACATACTATGTAAAATGTATTTTCATGAGCATTTAACCATGTTATAACATGTTTGCCTGGTAAGTACAAAAATATATCTCTCTGTATATTAATCTGGTCCCCACTACCATTGTGCCTCAAACCAGACTCCAACCACGATGGTGCAATCAGATTCATTGAGCTCATTGGTCATCTAGAATCTGGAACAAAATCTAATGTTTTTCAGTCCCCTGTGATATTTTTTCCTTCTTTTTTTCATATTTGTTTTGATATTGACGGAACAAGCATGTCCCTAATTGGCTAATCCATTAGTCAATCACACCCATCTAAACTCCATGACCAGATTCACATCTTGCTAAAAGAACTGGCGAAGTGTATATTCTGCAAACCAAGGCAAATTACATGCCCCCTTATTAAATGCAAAAGTACAATATGAAGCTAAAGGCAAATAAAGTTCCACAACGGAAGACAAAAATTCCCTGATATGATGAAAAATAAAACTTCACAGAAATCATCAAATTAATATTAAGATAAAGACTATTTCATATTTCCTATGTTCTTTGAATGCAAATGCATTGTGGTATGTACCTCTGTTGGAACAGACGACTCCCTGTGGGTTTTTGCAGAGCTCTTTGCTTTTCTTGCCGGAGAGGGTACAGTCTTCCTGGAACTGGCAGGCCTCACCGAACCAGCCTTCATCACACTCACGTCCCACAGTCGCAGTAGCCTCGGTCTGAAGGGGAAAGCAGCACACCACATGCTGTTTATGCATTCAGTCCATGTCAAATCAAATCACAAATTCACTCCATAAGGACACAAGGAAACTCAGGATTTTCTAGCTCTGTAATGCAATGTGTAAAATAGTTAAACACCACTTTGATATTACATAACCCAATTTTCTTTCCAATGAATTCATGATTTGTTGCATTTTTGAAATTCAGATTTGAAATGTGCAAATTGTTGAGTCACAGTGACGACTTCTTGTTAACAGTATTGGACACACCACAGACTGTTTCTAATCCTTGTGGTGCTGAGCAATATGAAAAACAGGAGGACTCATACTATTCAAATGAAGGCTGTTGACAAGTTATAAAAGATGTGGCTCTCAGCACGTTTAGCAGCGAGGGCCATGTACATCACACTCAATCATCTCCTGACACGCCTGTCATGTAAATGCAGTGTCCTTTTCAAGGGCTGGCCATCAGTCATTAACTAGAGACATCCTACCTATCCCTTCCCATTATCAATGCCACTCTAGACAGTCCTGACTAGTGCTGTCTGCTCTTGTGAATCTGAAAAATACAAGTTGTAAATATAAGTCACACAACATCTTCTCGATGTATTTTTCTGACACCATTCTACTTGAGCAATTTTTATATTTTTGAAGTGCAAGTACTCAAATACAATTTAAGAAAACAAAAACAAACAAAAAAAAACCCAAAAACTTTCTCTTTTCACTGTAGTGTTTTAAGTTTTTATCTTAACTTACCCTAACCCTAACCTACAGATTTCATTTCAGTTTTCAAAATGCTGAAATATTTTCTCTGGAAATACCAAATCTAATGTTTAGACCATATACAGTCAGTGGTTTAGACAGGCCATATGCATGAAATCATAAATCAGACGTGCTAAACTGTGGCTCTATTCTTTTATTATTATAATTATTTGGGGTGGCAACCCAAATCATTATATGTTTTACTTTACCTGATCTAATATAATTTAAAGTGAAGCTAAACATTATAAGTAAGTAAGCGCTTTCACAGACATTTCTGTCCCCAAAGACGCTTTACACTTTATTCAGCATTATTCATTCACTCTTTACCCTGGTGATGGTAAGCTACTGCTGTAGCCACCGCTGCCCTGGGGCACACTGACAGAAGCGCGGCTGCCATGCCACTCGGCGCCATCGGTCCCTCCGACCACCACCATCACTCACACACACACACACACACCACTTTCATACTAGGCAAATTGGGTGAAGTGCCTTGCCTAAGGACACTATGATTGAATTGATTGTATTTAACTGACCTTGACTATCAACTGTTTATGGAGACCTATGTAGCATGTTTTGGGTTGATGGGGGAAACCGGAGCACCCGGAGGAAACCCATCCAGACACGGGGAGAAACATGCAAACTCCACACAGAAAGGCGACCCGGGGATCGAACCCAGAACCTTCTTGCTGTGAGGCATGAGTGCTAGCCACTCAGCCACCGTGCCATCCCCTTTTTCCTTATCAGACTGTATGATATTAGCATTATCTACTGTTACTAGTAAAAATTTAGTGTGTGCTGCCTCCAGTTGCCACTGCAGTTTCAGGTACTTGGTGACATCACGCAAAACTGCCCTGATCACAACCAGATGTTTCGGATAACAAACACCTGGCTGCGGAGGTGGAGTTTGAAGTGTGGATAGCTTTTAGTGATCTACTTTATTTGAAATGTGGTTGTCACACTTTAAAGTAATGATGTATTTCTTACAGTTAACTATTTGTGTATACACATATACACAGATACCCACCTTTGGATACAAATCAGAGAGTCAACCTTGCCTTGAAAATCTGTTACAGATCAACTGCCCATTTCCTCTAAGACAAGTTTACATGTGTGGGCTGCTAACTGTCTTTTCAACATTTATCTCCTTCTCTACTTCCGGAGCAGTAACTCTAGTGGCTTGGGGGTGTCGGGGTTTATCCCACGCACATTCGAACAGCACAGGAATCCAACCAATCCGCTCCTCGTTCCAGCGCCAGGGCTGAGCAGGGGCTGTGTCTCTGTTGACATCAATGACAGTAATAACTAGTGATGTGAATTTACAGTGATTAAGTGGTGATGAGGTGACACTGATGACTCATACAGCGAGGCCAGTATCAGATTTTAAATTTAGCAGCTTTCTTTAAAAAAAACTATGTGTGATATTGAAAGGAAGATCAACAAGGACTTGATTGTTTGTTCAGTTTAACTGTTACAAACTAAATTTCTTGGGCCGGATTAAATTTTTTATTTTTTTAATGTATTTATTTTTTCTTTGCTTGCATTAACTTGATAGTAAGATGTTTTTAGATTTTTTGAACATATTTTAACTACATTTATTCAAACAGAGGGAACTATTTCAGAATTCTGTATATACAATACTATACTTGTATCTTGACGTTTTCTATTTAAATGACATTTCCTCACTTACTCCGTGTGGATCATGTTCTCCACAACACAATTGCTCATTTCAGCAGGTAATTATTTGGCTGTGTCGTCTCTCCCTGTGGGCCATGGTGCGTGAAACAACAGCGCGTCAGGCCCTGTTCAGTGGGAAATATCACGGAGACACCTGTCTCAGGTAATAAAGTATTCTCTGTTTGTGCGGCCCCTGAATAAGGGCCCACTGCTTTCATCCTTTGGCTTTTACATTTCCTTATCTAGGGCCTGTCTACTTTAGTGAGTCTCTCATATCCTGCTTATATCTCTGAGGGAGGTTTTAAGCCCCTCCAGCACTGATCACAGCAATGTACTTTTTCAGCAAGCAGCCTTTGGACGCTGTAATTGGCCAATCCAAACAGCCGCTGAGTAGCAGAATTGGACAGACTAAAGTGGCTTTTTCTCCTTTGCAGCCCACACTGGAATCATTATGTGACTCACTAGGCACAATGCCCAGCACCCCCAATATTGAAGTGAAGGTGCATCAAAAGTTGTAGAAGAAAATACTAAGGTGAACTATATAATGGCTGTAATGACACAGCACTGCTGCACTGTACTTTCTATTACTTCTGATTTGCCTTTGTATATACTGTATAAAACATAAACTGGGTCAGCAAAAACAAAATTAATTTTCATGAATTATTTATCTGCACTAAAGTTGAACAGTATTTCACTATGTAATACTGACAACTGCCTTTGTAGGTCTTTGATCAGAAACAGCCCTGGCCACCCTGAAACACCCTGCAGTGGGATCTTCTCTGATTCTGGCAGAGGGCAGGGAGGCTCAGGGCTAAGCCAAAAAACAGATGCTTTGAAAAGTTGTAGCTGGGTGGTGGAAGTGGACAGGGGCAATGCTAATGCTAACAGGGCTACAATATGCTCTGAGCCATAGCAATCAAATTATTATATGTCTCATATGAGTCTGAAGGTACAAACATTTAAAAGTTTATAGATATTTGTCACCCACAGATTGTCTTTTGAGAAATAGTGCCCAAACAAGCCCATAAAGACTATATTTTACAGTAAATTACACCAAGCTCAACAACTAATTATTTAGTAGTACTGCGTTTAAAAATACACATATTTTTTATTGGGACATTGCTTTGCCTGCACCCCCCATGTCTTTGATAGTGGAAAAAAAGACTGAAGCAGACAGCAGTCACACAACAAAAACACCTCAACAACAGTAAAAGGGTTCGGCAGAAGAGAGAGTGAAGAAGACGGTGAGAAGAAAAGGGAAGGCTTTTCACGTGGCTCATCAAAAAAGGGAAAATACAGCCTGTGAAATGGAGAATGGAAACAGAGCCACATGTAGGCCGTACGTTTAGATGCGTGGAAAAGTTGAAACAGTTAATGTATTTAGCCTGTGCTCATATTATTCCAATACTAAAAAGTCATTATTTCAGTTTCAGTAGGAGTGGGTAAAGTGCCAAAAATCAATGTCACAATTTTCTTATAGTCTAGATCATATATTAGATTAGCTCATGATTCCTTATGTTAAGAGTCTTCATATATATTGCTATTTGAAGTAAGTCAAGCATCCTATAATAATCTTAATCACCACACTGTGATTGGTTAAATCCACCTGTAACTCAGAGCATGACCAAGGCTCACCAATAATGGAAGAGGGAGAAAACTGTCTGTGTTTGAGAAGCTGCAAAAAATAGAGAAGCATGGAATGTTGTTATGACCAAAATAGCATATCATCACAGAGATCAGATAGCTATTTGAACTGCATTGCGAAATTGTTGCTCATTCTTATTTTAATCACTATCAACGCATTTGCATTGACAAATTAACATTTAAAAAACAAGATATTAAAAACGATGCATATCCAATTACAGCAGTACACGCATAGAAGGACTAATTCACTATTTGTATTTACTGTCCTTGTAACAAATCCCTACTTGATCCGACAATATCGAAATGAAAGGAGCCCAGCCAAGGTCAGAACCAAAGACATATCTGTGTTTAAGAAGATGGGTTGGGTGGAGAGCACAGAGCAGTGATGCAGTGATTGACCGGGCACATAACCAAACATACAATAAGAACCAGTATGCTTCATGTTTGATTTGAATGAGGGAAAATACATGTCCCGGTATAGGGTAAAGGAACATTTCTATGCCAGTATAGCAGAAAAGCACACAGTTTATCCCTGAGAAGAAAAAAATGATTTGATGTTATCAGGTGGCAGTTGTGAGAGGCGGAGATAAGGGAGCCTCGGGGAGAGAAATTGGCTGCTGATCTCAGACAGCAGACCCGGCATCCTGCACGGGCCATTGGATATCACCAGAGGAGACTATTCTTCCCTATATATGCTTTAAAACCACAATAGTGTGTGCTTCTGATTGTGCACTTTTTACGTGTGTGTGACAATTTGAAATGGATACAGATCGATATGTGTGCCTAGCCTGGACCTGGTGTGAAAACTCCTGCCTCCGTGGATGCACTGGGTTTGCAATTGCAGTCAGTGTAGCCGTGAGTGAAACCCCATTATCAGAGTGGAGCAGGGCCGTCTTTCTCCAGACTGCTCAACCATAATGAGCAGCTCATAGCAGCCAACTTGTCTTCCCAAATAAATCAGTCAGCCTCACATGCCTGTACCCCCCTCCCCAATACACATACACACATACACATATATCTCTATTAGACCTGTTCTCGAGGCACACCTGTCTCCATTATGGCCTGATAGCTCATAGCCCAGTGACTATAGAGGACACTGCACAAAAGATGATACAGGAATACATTTCAGATTGGGCTGCTAACAAGACTTGTAATGAAAGAAGGTGAAACTTTTTTTGGGGTAGCAAGACATAGAAATGATTATATTATAAGCCTGACAATAATATATAGTAAAGGCACAATTTCGATATTTATGATAATGCTTCATAGTCCAAATAGTCACTCGTATCTAAGCATCAAATGTGATATGCCATGCCAATGTTTGTTTATGAACCAATACACACTATTAGGACTGTCATTAAAAGTTTTCAATATAACAAATAATCTATTTCAAGATAGATATTTGAATACCGGGTATACCTTTGCAGCCACACCCCTAAACACGCCCCTTCTAAACTGGAAGTAAACCATAAATTAAACATGTACTAGACTGAGAGTAAACCAGGACTAGAACAGGTCCAAACAAACATCAGTAGCAAACAGGGCTCAAACCAGGAACTATGAGGTGTCACTATTGTAATATAATCACTTTGAAACCTAATGAATAACACTGCACTGCATTTGATCCCTGTTAGAGTTGCGTCAGAGGGGAAAATCTGTTTGTGTTTTTGCATGTGCTTTGTTCCACATGTTCCATCCCCTCACTCACCATTGCAGGTTTTCCCATTATGTATGGCACACACCCAGTCGTGGCATTCACAGCGAGACCCATAAAACTTTCCTGGATCCGTGGCTTGGCAGATGCAGATGCCACAGTCACATGAGCCTCTCCCGCTGCACACTTTACCATCAGGCGTGCGGCAGCGGCGACTGGAAGCTTCTGAGGACAGCCTGCACACACCTCCTCCCACCTGGCTGGAGACAAACAGGGGTCAGGGGGTTACAGTCATTGAGGTCAGAGGTCAAAGTTCAGCTGTGGACTGGGTACATCTGGGTGAAATAATCTTTTCGGTAATTCCAAAATGTCAGTGGATACTATTACTATGCTAACATTAGAAAAATAAGCAATGTTTTAAATATTAATACCATGTGAAGATTGCAAATATTAGGTCTAAACCAGGTCTCAATCCCAAAAAATGACAATTTAAAATTAGTAGTAACATCTGAGGCTATAAATGGACAGATAATACTGATATAAAGAAGAAATATATTAAACTCAATTATACACATATTTTGGAATGGGAACTGTGACTAACCACACCAACCGAACTAGACTACTTAATAGAATTTTAAATGTGTTTTGAGGGGGGATTAAAGGCAGCACGTGGTAAAAACATGAGACACCATGGAAACACAACACCATTTTAGTGAGGATTAGGCTAACTAATGGAATAGCACTAAATGGACTCTCCAGCAGACGTGGCAAGTGTCTATTTTTACTTTTTGCAGTTTCTCACACAGCTTTGTTTTATTTGGATTCTTCCTCACATTCTTTGACTGTTCAGAACTTTTTGGGATTCAGGCCAGCTGCTCCTTTTAAGCGGTGGATATAAACAATGACAAGAGTATTTTTTCCTGTCACTCTGATTAAAAAAAACAATATCAATATTCAGTATCTTATTTGCACTGAAAAGTTACAGAAACATAATGTTGTGGCACCTGTGGGTTTACATGTGATGGTACTGTCATATATATATACAAATACTTTGCTAAATTGCTGTTTAACTGTTATTTCAGTGGCAGCTTGTGGTGGGCTGACAAAACATCTTGATTGACACAAACTGTATGACAGCACACATTACAACAGGTGCACCTGCATCAAATGACAACATTGTGGCATTTTATAATATATTTGACATTTACTATCTAATTGTATTATTCCATAACTGAACATTTATATTGAGTTGCTACTTATTTAATGCCAAATGCTCTTAAAGCAATCTGGGATTAGTTATTGATCTTTTAATTCTGAAAGTACAAAAGGTAAACACATGTGGTTGCTCACTAAAAGACATTTATCTCATGCACAATAACTACACCATATGCATGGTGAACTCACCCACTTTCTCACACTTAACTCCCTGAATGTTGTCTTTGTTAGCAAAATTGTATGCCCCAGCCTTGCTTCTAAGTCTCACTTCTCACAAAGAATATAGTGGAAATATACAAAGCAAGACGAAAACTCACCTCACCGATTGTAACAGTGTGTCCTCCACAGTACAGAGCAGAATCACAAGTAACGGCACTAGCATGGACTGCACCAAAGCCCCTGAGTGCATGTTTAAATCCCAACAGTGACTCCGGCAAAGTAGCTTGAAGGAATTTCCCTCTTCTAAAACAGACAGCAGGCAAGGAGAGAGTGAGGAGGGAAAAGGAGAAGAAAAGCAGCAGGCTGGCCTGAACTGGCCCAGTCTCTTCAGAGGCCAACAGTCCTCTCCATACAAGTGCCTTTGATTACTCCACAGTCACAGGCAGTCCGGGGCAAAAAGAACATTTTGGATGGATTTTTCATATGTAATTAGAAGCAGACTTTATTTCCCACCCATTTCCTCTCTTCCAGATGTTTTTTATGTCTTGCAGGTGTGCTTGTCTCATACTGTAGCCTATGGGTCGCCTATAACATAATGATTAATGGTTTGATCAAAACTCACATTAGGGCTTATCAGAGCTAAAACATTTCTTCAGTGTAACAGCCAGGTGGTGGTTGAAGGAGCCACTGGCCCATATTGTAGGCCACACTTATGTCAGGCTGCCCAGAGCAGCAAGGCCTGTAAAGTAGGAGGAAAATGAAATCTGGTAAAAAAAACACTGAAATGGCACACAATGTAGCCTAATTATGAAAAAGAAAGGGCATGCAAGGCAGCATTGGAACATGCCTGTGATTAGTGTGTGCTTGTGAATAGAGCAACTATTGGGAAGATGAAACACCTGTAGGCCAGCAAAGAATGAATCATTGCATTTATATCACACCTTTCAAGGCATCCAAAGCACTTTACAGTTAATTGTTCAATTGCTCCACACTCCATGGTGGTAAGCTAATATAGCCACCACAGACTGACAGAAGCAAGACTGCACCTGTGTCATCGGCCCCTCCAACCACCACCAACACTCACGCACAAACTTTATTACTAGGCACTGTAGCTCAAGTGTCTTAAAGTGTCTAAGGACACAAAGAGTGGCACCCCACTGCGGCACCTGGAATTCCCAGTGTTCTCCCATCCAAGTAGTACCCACTCCCGGCCCTGCTTAGCTTCTGAGACCTGACGAGATCAGGCTTTGATAAGCTTTGATAAGCTTTGATAAGCTTTGATAAGCTGGTATAGCCACAAGAAGACAAGGCTACTTACTGAAACTTCAGACTGGTTGCGGATGGCCTACTTGATAATACTTGCATGATTTATCTACTGTAGAGCCATGACTCATGAGTGTGCAACTTTCCCAGTCAGAGTTCTCATTGTTCTGCAGCGCAAGTAGCCGCCTAACCTTTAAAGTTTTGAAGCTACTTTATCACATCTCCATGTTTCTGCATCCGCCAAACTAAGTAGTCCTATTACTCTATTCAATTATATTTTTAATGACAACACCCAAAATGAAACATCACATTTAAGCAGTTTGCTGGAACATTACCAGCATAGCCTGCGTCTTGACCTCTGGAGCAGCCTTCACTGTCACCATGGTAACGGCGCGCTCCCCTGCACGCGGAGCTGTTGATGTGATTGCCACCTGCGCGCTCCCGCACCCCCTCTGTCTCCTCTGTCCGCAGCGCGATTGCTTAACCGACACCGGAAAACAGCTGATGTTATGGGCAAGAAAAAACAGGATTGGTAAAGAACATCCGACTATCGTAAGTGACACGTATCTTTCTACTTTTAGCATTACGCCGATTGTTCCATGAGGACATCTTGTGCTAAGAGGGATGCAGCAGGTGACGCTTGATGCTGCTGCTACATTCGATGTTTCTACAGGAAGTGAGACGTTTTCATCCTTTGGAGCAGGCCTTGATTACAATTCGTGATGCTGTTACTACTCTGTGACATGAATTGTGTATCAAAGACCGTATTAGCAAGCAATGAGGTCCACCGATGCTCATTATAAGCCTATCGCTCCTTTCTTTCATGTTTAGCTTGATTTTAGCCGCTGTAGCATCTTAGCTCGTAGCCGTTTCCATAGTAACATGGCTCTCTTCATCAGGCTCAGGCCTACATCTCTTAGATAACATGTAGAGTAGCCTAGATGAGGGATATCAAGTGTATAGGGTCAATTTTGTTGGGTCATTAATTATGCTATGTAAAATATTTAACCGGGAGCAGTTTGGACGTCAGCCTTTACCTCTTGTCCTCATTACAAATAGAGTTCCCTGGGGGACAGTAGCTAACTGATTACATTACTGTCACAATGATTTTTGTCACACAGAAGATGTTTTTATTGACTGGTTGTTGCTCTTCTTACTTACATACTTTTAGATACCTCTGGATTGCTAACAGTTTTCAACAACCTATAAACCTATCAAATTAATTAATTAATGAATAAGCACATTTCAAATGTCTTATATTAAACCTTTCTGGTGGCTATTGACATTTAGTAATTAATTAACATATGCTTCAATTATGGGATTTTGGAAATACAATAAAGCAGCAATATCAAGGGAATGCCCCCCTTACATTGTAAATGATAACATATCAAAAAGCTCAATATAGCATTGAAATGTATACTTAAAGTGATTTTGCTGAATCAAGGTACTACCAACTTCTTTGGTAAACTTTATGCTAAGAGGTCTAATTTTTTCTGCACCATGCATATACTAACAGTTACAATTAACCTGCCCAGTGATAGTATCCTGCATGTGAAGAACGTGTCCTTTTTCAAATGGGAAAGTAATTGCAGTCTATGCCACCTATACTCCCACATAATAGCACTTAGAGCCTGTAATTTAGTTTTCACTCTTCTTCAAGTCTCCATCTGCATATGTTAAGTGTAGCAATTACGCTGGGAAATTGCTTCTAACTACATGGGGTTTTATAGAATGGACAGTTTCTTTTCTTGGTAGTGGCATAAAAAGCAACATAACAGAGAAGCATTGTTCTTAAAAGTTCCTTGTTGTCAAACCAGCTAAGTAATTTAATACTTTATTTTTCATCATAGATTTGGTTTTCACCTTCTTCACAGTTGTGTGAGTTCCTTTTCTCTTTACAGAACTCACACTGGCTTTGTTTGTTATTTATAGAGTTTTGTCCTTCAGTTTGTACTGGTTTAGGCCCAGTCATATTTTTATTACTTTGTTTTATTTTGTGTTTTCTATATGATATATATGACTTGACGTTGGATCATTGTCATGTATTACAGAATTACTTGGAAAGCCCATTTTATTTCATTGTTACCTTGTAACCAATTGTGCTGATGTAAATCCATGTATAACCCATTTACTGTATAATTGCTCACCTTGTATAACTTCTGTGATGTTCACTCACGGCTGCTGCAGGCTCTCCAGGCCTCAGGACAGTGTCCCTCTTGCATCTCTTGTCTCTCTCTGGCTGGTCTCTCCGCCCTCTGTGACCTGGGAATGAATGCACCAATGAGGAGCCTCACAGTGAGTGGCCTACTCCTCTTCCACCTCATGCTCCTCCACCACCACACCAGTCACTTACTCCCTCATAGAGTGTGTTCATATATGCCTTGGTGTCAGACGTGGTGGGCATTCTGTCTCTATGAGCGTACTGTAGATGTGGATAGTGTTACTGTACACCATAATGCCATAATGTTGACTAACTGTTGTGTGTTATTTACAGGGTATGCCTGATCGCATGTTATGTGCAGTGCTGGAGCAATTTCAGCTTTACTTTTCCCTTTGGTATGTGCGCTTTGTCTCCATTCAGACTGTCATTCTCTTCTGTTCCTATGTTCAAACAGCCTTTACATCTTTCTTTTTCTGCATTATACAAACGCACACAAACACTGTCTATGACAAGGACACGCGTAGGCGACACCAATTCACAGTCACACTGTACAGTGGTACAGTGTACACTTCTAGTGGCTTGGTGTTAAAGATGGTGGAGATTAGTTTGATTAAATGGTAAGTCAGTCCAACATGAATACACTTGTCCTGTGTCCCATGTGTGCTATGTCATGTACCACAGTGATCGTTCAACAGTGTGACACTTTTAATTTCGGGGTACAGGCCTTTGGTCTGGCTATTTAAGTTTGGGCAGTTATTTTTGTAACTTATCTATATTTAATCACAAATACTTCACACAATTTCTATTTGAAAAAGTAAGAGCTGTATTTTAATAAATGCAAGTTGTCACAGACTGCCCAGACTTGGATGTGGCCAGAATCTTTTCTTTTTTTCATCTAGCGTTAGTCACTGCATGGTCTTCCTCCCTGTGTCTGTCAGATCCACTCTCTGTATAGCACAGCAAGCCCCAGCATGCTGAAGAGGAAACAGAGCTCTCGGGTCGAGGCCCAGCCCATGACCGACTTCGGGCCAGATGAGACACTGGCAGACAGCGCCGACATCTTCTGGATCAACAAACCAGTGAGAATTGTCTCAATGCATTGTGAATCATAACAGTAACTTTTGCTTGTGATTCAGTTTCATTATGATTTAGACCTGTTGGGCACAATTCTAATTCTAAGATATTTATAATGATTATATCAGTAACTCATAAACTATAAATTCATAAGGATGCAGTGTTGGGTGGACTTTATGCCAAATCCAACCATCTAAGAACTACCTAAGTATCAGGTTTATTATTACATCCTTGTCTTATAAATGTATCAGAAATTGACTATTACATTATGGACAACGATTATTGTTCTTATTGTATTTATTTTCTTGCAGTGGGTGCACTCTCTGCTGCGAGCCTGTGCCATCATAAGTGTCATCTCAGTGTGTATGAATACTCCGAAGACCTTTGAGCACTACCCTCCCCTTCAGTATGTCACCTTTACCCTGGACACCCTGCTCATGTTCCTATACACGGCTGAGATGATCGCCAAGATGCACATCAGAGGAATCATCAAGGTAGGAGTAGTAGATTTCTTCAGACACTGAAGTGCTTTATGCGCTGTAGCTCTTTACAGATTTGAGTCATTGATAGTAGTTAATATTTAACTTTAAATTGTTTCCAATCTATAAGTAGACAAACAATGTACTAGAAGCATCTAGAAACAGACAGCTGGCAGATGAAAGCCCCATAATTACAACCATAAAGATTCTAGACAGCTTAATTGGCAAATCAATGATAACAAGCAGGAGGTAGTGGAGGACACCGACCTATGTGGCACTGGTTTAGATCAGTGTTTGTGTGTGTGCAATTGTAGAACTTTATTGATGAATGTTGAGCCCAAATACAAAACCAAATGCATTTAATAAACAGAGATTTATTGACAACAGCCCATTTGTAATTGTCTGCCCTCATGTCATGTGCATAATCACTCTGTATCTGCTGAGTGTAAGGCGGCCCTTGCAGATGCAGTTACAGTTGCTCTGAAGTGGTAATTAAGTGGGCCCATTTTTGCTGGGCAATGTGACATTTTAGTTTCTTCCCCCCCTAAGGGATTCCATAGTGTTTATACTGTCATGAAAACAGGGATATTTGAACACAAATACTCAGTCCACTTCTGCTGGCAGCAATTTCTATGTTTTTTATCCTCCTAGACAAATTTTCAATAGAATTTCCATAGATATTCTTTTATGAAAAAGGTTTTAAAATGAAATGATCAGAATAATTCAAATTTTTTAATGTTTAATAATAAGGTTAACACCGTTGTCAGTGCTGGACTTGAGAGCTGTATGTGTTTTAACACAGGGGGATAACTCGTATGTGAAGGACCGCTGGTGCATGTTTGATGGTTTCATGGTGTTTTTCATCTGGGTCTCATTGGTGCTCCAGGTAACATCCTTTAACCTGGTTGGATTTGTTTCTTTACACAGACCATGTTGACCAATATAGTGTCCTTTTTCTGTAAGGTATTTGAAATAGCCAAGCTTGTAGATCAGATGTCTCCATGGGGCATGTTGAGAATACCACGAGCACTTATAATGATCAGGGCCTTCAGGATCTACTTCCGCTTCGAGCTTCCTCGTTCTCGCATCACCAACATTCTCAAGTACAATATTCCATAACCATTTATCCAAAATATGTGTTTAGATTCTATAAGAACTAAGGTACAAAATGGACGCTGAGAATTCTGTCCTCATCTTTACAGGCGTTCTGGTGAACAGATCTGGAGTGTGTCTATCTTTTTGCTGTTCTTTCTCTTGCTTTATGGAATCTTGGGTGTTCAGATGTTTGGGACATTCAACCATCACTGTGTGACCAATGATACAGAGCCAAAGTAAGCACATTTGCTATGTATATTCCATTTGTTGATACATCCGAATAGCACAAAGACTCTCAGCATAAATTGGATAGTCTCCGTGAAAAAAAACAAAAACAAAACACATGTCTCATCAACCAGCAAAAACAGTATTTAATCCAGTGCTTGTGTAATTCAGACATTGGAGGTGCATTTAGGGTGATGGCAACTGCTATTAGACCCTCTAATGAAGGTTTTGGAGTATAGTTATTAGGCTGGGGAAGATGTGATGAATCACTGTAGAGACAAAAGTTAGAGGAAGTGAGAGGGGATCATAATGGTTTACGCCTTGATCTGCAGCAATGGCTGACACTAATTATAATGATTAACACTGCACTATGTTCAGGACTGGCATTAGGCTCATTCTTACAAAATTGATTCATAGCAGTATAAATGATGTAAGTAGGGCATTTGTTGTGTGAAATGTGAAATGGCAGTAGAAGAAAGACGATGGAGAATAGCTTTGGACATTCTTGTAGTTATGGTTCAGATGTTTGTATCATCATGACATAAGTGCATAAACAGATACACTTGTCCTCTCATTGAGTTAGCCCTCATTCATTTGAAGTTAAAAAGCAACATTTTCAAGTTTCTAAACAGCCTTCCAATTGTATTATGTGCTATGTGCTAAACCACCTTTCCCTGAAATTTGTGTGATTATAGACAGTATGTATTTATTTTGGCAGTTTTGTTGGCATCATATCCAAAAATGAAATATTTATTTGTCTATATATTTAAAAATAATTACAATAATTATTGTATATTTACATGATTTATGCCATAGACCATGCTACTTATAACAATAGAATATAATATAGCTCATCTTATTCAGCCTAGTCTAATTAGCTTAATAGAGATTGACCTGCGTCTCTGATTACCTTGTGTAATAGTGCCATGAATTATCCTTTCTATCCGTGTATCCTTTAATAAACCTTTGGATGAGTGTCTAGGCAGCCATCGGAAAGCATTAATTTTCATTAGAGAAATCATACCGTGTCTTGAAAATCACCTGTGGCTGAAGGGACATAGGCAAATAAAGGACATGTGTATGTATGCATGCATGTATGTATGTATGTATCTATTCAATGAATGTGCTTATATTTTTACAGTAACGTGTCTTGGAACAGCCTGGCCATTCCAGACACTCACTGCTCTCCACATGGGGAGGGCTACCAGTGTCCCTATGGTTTTAAATGTGCCGACCTTGAGGAATACGGCCTCAGCAGACAAGAACTTGGTTATAGTGGTTTCAATGAGCTAGGTAAACATATCTGCTGCACACCCAACATACCATCATGGATTTTACAATTTACAGTGGGCAGATATCCATTTTATGCTTCATATATAAGCAATATACTATATTGTAATTGGGCATTTACACACCTAACAAGCATTTTTTCCCCATATTTAAACTGTGTGTGAAAATGATCACAACATGTGCCTTTTGATCACTGAATGTTTATTGAAGTAATTTATTTATATATGGGCACATAGCAAAATCAATTTAATATGTTGGCATTGTCATATTATATTTATATCAGTAACTACCATTTATCGTGTCTTGTCTCTTTGGTTAGGTACAAGTATTTTCACAGTGTATGAGGCAGCATCACAAGAAGGATGGGTCTTCCTTATGTACAGAGCCATTGACAGTTTCCCTCGTTGGCGCTCCTACTTCTACTTCATTACCCTCATTTTCTTCTTGGCATGGCTTGTCAAGGTTGGACACTATTTCTAAAGCATTTTTTCATTTGGTTCGTGAACAGTAAAACGGTCCAGACGGATGACATTGAACAACATTTCCAAAGCATAATGTATCACCTTTTTGTTAGCAATGTCTAGATAAAAACTGTTTCCTCCTGTCAGCTGCATGCCCTGTAGTACTGTTATTTATAAGATGTCTTTCTCGTCTGCAGAACGTCTTCATTGCAGTTATCATCGAGACATTTGCAGAGATCAGAGTGCAGTTTCAGCAGATGTGGGGGTCAAGAAGCAGTACAACCTCCACTGCCACCACACAGGTACGCCAAGCACCAGCGCAGATTAGACATCTCTTTTACACAGCTCCTGTTTCATGATTGATTTAGAACACAATTCCAGTACTGGCGATCACACTTGACTGGAAAACATTGAGTATGAAAAATAGTTACCAAAGCAGTGATTAGATTTTTCAAGACCTACATGATGAAAAAGTATTATAAAAGCAAAGATTGAGCTACCATGGCATATGCACCATGCCATTGGTAATCATAAGAGAGGACTCTTTGATTATGATGGTACACTCTCTCTGCTATGCAAAGTTTGCATTGTAGTTGTGTCATTATTACTCAGTTTACTCATGCAAGAGGGAAACGTTAACATGTTTCTATTTTTTGCATTTTCCATCAAAAGAGGGAGTGTGTTTTCCCTTCAGTGTAATTTGTGCCCTCATATAACATTTAAGTTAGCAGAAATAACTGTTATTCTTTCACATTGTACAGCCTAATTATTCAACAACCATGACATTGTGTGGGTGTGGATCTCTTAGTCTGGAGATGCCTTTAGTCATGGTTGTGACCACAGATGTACAAACAGACCCAAAGGGCAGATATGGTGTTTAATTTTGCCCAGTTGTTTTTAGAGCTTGTATGTGTCTCATGTGCTCAGATGTTTCATGAAGATGCTGCTGGGGGGTGGCAGCTCGTCGCCGTGGACGTCAACAAACCACATGGTCGAGCGCCTGCGTGCCTCCAGGTAAGACTGCACTATCATTAACATTCACTAGTTCTGTTCTTACTCACATATTCACAAAGATTGTTTTTCTTTATCTTTTTGGGCTTGTAGCTAATATCTTAATAATACTTGTATTTAATTTTTGTTGGGCACTAACTATTTGATATAGGTTTGGATACACATGGTGTCACCTCATTGTTTTCACATTTTTCTATTTTAATGATGGCATGAAATGGCTCAGTGATGGTATTTAAAATGAGGATGGCTCATGTGTGATGTGTGGCTGCACTAACGAAGCTGCTTCTGTTGTGGATGTGCTTTTAATGGCGGCTACATGATGGACGCCACAGCCACTGCTGCCACGGTGACTGTGATGCCACTGGTTGGGCTTTAAAGATAAGCTGAAATCAGCAGGCGCCACTTAAAGCTGGCGCACTGTTAATAGCGATGTTGTGTAAAGACTTGGCTGTTGCTGAGAGAGACTGCCAACAGAGTTTGTATCAGGAAGACTAGGGCTGTCAACAAAGTCACATAGAAAACATACTGGTGCATAGCCAAGGTGCACATACATACATGATTAACCAGGGAGAAGAAAAAAAGAAAACCTGCAAACCCAAAAATAAATGTAGTATTCACATCAAAGGGATGTTTCTTATAGAGTCAATCATCAGTGAGAAGAAAGATTTAGATAGAGGGATAACCGGAGGGATAAACATGGCACATTTTCCCCAGGGCCCTGAGCTCTTCCACACACAACATTCTATAAAGCAGCAAGCTTGCTGCTTTATTTACTCAAGGTATTTTTGACTTATGGTTAGGGTTTGCAGTAGTAGTTCTAGACATCTTCCAAATTAGACAAATTAGGGAAGAAACTGCATTATCTAAATAAGGCTAGCACCTTCCTTTGGTACACCAGTGTCAGATGGGGATGCAAACTGTGTCGGCAGGTAGTGTGAAGGCAGGTTACAGTCTGCAGGACCATCTGTGAGTGCAGGAGGAGTGAGTTTGGGTTCTGCTCTGTGTCATTGGCCAGAAGATTCTAATGTTTTAGAAAATTTGACAAATGTAATATTTTCCATATTGTGAAAGGCAGCAAACATTTCTTGATTTGTTCTGGGTTTTTTTTTGTTGACCAAAAAACACAGCACTTGAGCTACATTTAAAACTAAATATATATGGATATTGTTATTGCCAGAATCACTGAGAATTGGATTTATTTACTGCCTGCCCCATATGTAAAGACTAGATGGTAGACAAATGCTGACATGTTTTGTGATCCAAGCGGGTCATGTGTAATTTAGCATGGCCTCTAATGCAGGTTGGTCCCACTGTCAGTGCTAAATGTGCAGTGATGGATAACACATTGGCTCACTGGGGGGAGTTAAAGTCCAATAGTGGAACACCTTTTTGACCTCTCCTTCCTAAGCCAGAGGTTATCGATTCCCCCAAACCTCCTTTTTCCTGTCTCAATGATCCCGCTCACCGGATATTCCTCGTGACGCCCTTTTTTAATCATTTGGAACTTACACAATCATGTCAAGGTTAAGGTCATGCTTGTGTGCGGGCGACGAAGGACAGCACACGTTACTGCAGAAATGGGGAAATTGGCTGGAAATGAGAACGTATCTGGGGAGAAAAGGAATTACTTTGAGGACGACATTGTTGCAAGAAGTGATTACAGAAAGGATGAGCTTATATGGTATGTGGACAGAGGGAAATAGACAGTCACTTGCAGGATAAACCAAAGATGTGACCACTCCTGTGAGATTTCAAAGGAGACGGCTAAATATAGTTCCGTACTTCAGGACAGAAGTGCCATATGCAGAAATGAATGAAACAACAAAATGCATTCCTAAATTAAAGTCAGTGAGACAATAAATACAGAGGTGGCAATGCCGATATTAAGCATAGGTGGGTGTTGACATGTTTTATTAAGGCCATGTTTTCAGTTCGGAGACATGAGTCACACAGCTCTGTCTGGACAATATTAAGCAAGGTGCTCCCACATTGTTACAGCCCATCTTAAGTTTATACACCCACTGCTTTGGCAAACAACTTTTGATTGGAAGAAACAATTGCAAATACATTTTCTTATTGTTTTAAGAATTTGTGTGCAGTGACATTACTGAATATTGGAATTAGAGCCCGACCGATATGGATTTTGTTGTGGCCGATATGAAACTGATATAATGATAGTTGGGGCTGCCGATATAATCGCCGATATATTTAGTGATGTAAAAATTCACTGTAAATCTTGAATTGATTAAAAAACTTAGGTTTGGCTCTAGTGAATTCTAAATTGGGTTTATTTAGGCAACATTTATTGTTATTTTGACTCTTCACATCAAACATACATACAGTAGATTGGCCTAATGGCATTTTTGCATCACATTCTAGCTACTGTTACTGTCACTGCTAGTGATGGGTATTCCAGTTTTTTTTTGGAGAACCGGCTCGGCTCACTAAAGCAGCTGGCTCTTTTGGCTCCCAAGCGACTCTTGAGATGGTTTTGTTCCAAGCAGGACTAAACCAGAACTGAACCAGGACTGAATGTCGGGACTCGGTTTCTGTCTTTCTCCTGCACTCGAGCCATTAGTCCTGGTTTATTCATTTTATGCTGAACTGCAGCCAAATATGCACTTTTTTTTATCCTATGCACACGCAGATTTCTGAAAGTTTCGTTTTCAGCCGCTGCTGCTGTCAAACTACGGGTCTACATGCGGCATGAAGAGAAAAAGTGAGAAAAAGAGAAAACACGGCTCCCAATAAGAAACATGCTCCCGTTGTTCGCTTCAAAGAGCCGGATCTAAGAGCCGTTTCGATCGCGACCGACCCATAACTCCTAGCTAGTAAACTATCGCTATTAGCCTTTAGCCGTAAAAACGTGCGCACCGCGGTAATTAATTATATGCATAAATGTGGATCATTCACACGTCTATTCACAGCTCATTTACATATCAATACTGGTCCAGTAACAAATATACGGCCAATGTAGTCACTTTACAATAGACCAATAGAAAACAGCCTGTTTATGTGTGGGAGCTACAGCAGCTAATTGCTAACAAAACCTAAACTAGCTTCAAAGTCGATGTATTTCCAACACTCACCGCTCACAGGCTCCTCCTCACATCACAAGTCTGCACTAATAAATGTCCTTTTAATCCAGACTCAAACCGATTGTTCGAAAAAGAATATAATCTCAGTGGTGCACACCACTGCGGGTGTAAACAAACACGTGTGTGAAGTAACGTCACTCTGGTGGTGTGTTCAGGGACAGTACGGACACAGACACAGACAAATTACACCGTAAATAAATACTGATGCGGAGCCACACATTAGGACATTTATCTGTCTGTAAATTGGATTAAATGAACATAATGTAGAGAGTCTAAGCTTTATAACGAGATATAACATGCCCACGTGAAATATCGGCACATATCAGCAAGCATATCGGCCGATAGCCGATATGTCTCCAGGTGCCCATATTGGCCGATAATATCGGCCAGCCGATATATCGGTCGGGCTCTAATTGGAATGCATAATTTACATATGGCTCACAGCAATGCCACTGTTGCGCTTAATCAAATTACATCAGAATTGCCTGCTAGGATGAACCAGGGATAAAACAGGACTAAAGTAAAATACCTTAACAGGGTTAACAGGGTCTGCACTACTTATCCTACTTATAGTTATTATAATATGAGCATACTCGCTGTTAGCCATAATGAAATTGTGAGCATAGAGAAGATTAATTGTCTACTGTATACAGTAGATGCTGTTATCTTTTTTTATTTGCTCAAAATGCCAAGTGACTAAAGAGGTGAGCACAGCATGTTGGTGACAAGTCCTGTGAGATTTGTGCATCATGGATGCCAGAAATGTGCGCATGTGCTACACTCGTACACTCATGTACCAGCGGAAAGAGCATTTGTGCCGTTTGGCTCTCTCTGTGAACAGACGGAGCAAGAGGAAGCACTGGTCACTGGTCTGTCACTCTACATCTCCTTGTCTCCGTAGTTGTGCAGCTGAAGACTTCGGAGGTGACATAGCGTTCATTCGCAAAAAAAGTCAATTTTGAAAAATTCTCAAAAGGTTATTTCTTTTATTGACTTTATTCTACAGATATCATCAGTGAAACTAAATTTGGGTGGGTTTGATTCTTAAAGATTTTTATGATAATGACAGAGATTTAACAGGTCAAAACAATGCAATTCAGAGAGTAAATAACTAGGACCTTTTTAATGGCACTGATTTGTTTTTGCATATGAACATTTCATTTCTTCTGCTCAGATTTTGAAAAAAATGTATTTGAAATCAGTATAATGTCCCTGAAGAGATTTTTTGCAACACTAACCAGATTTTATGCTAACTGCTCAAAGGAGTGACAGTCATAATGACCTGAGATTAGTGCATACATGATATCATTCAAAATTTAATAGGCAACAGATGAAGAACTTTCATACTTAATCAATGAGGTTTTAACACTATAATGAAAGTGTTTCTTCAAGATAGATGGGTATTGATAGCATACAATACAACACATTTTTGTGTACACTCTTCTGTAAAATCCTCTCTATGAGATTAAAAGGTTTGTAAATTCAATATCAGAACATACTTGCTTTGTCTTCATATAGCAAAGGTTGCGCATGACTGTGGATATGTGGCTAGGCAAATACGGAAAGAGACAAGACCTCAAAAAATCTAGCATTTCATATGCGCTAGCGTGTACTCTCTGTTCTCTGTCAGTCCGCCTCTATCTCCCATGCTCCTTTGCACCCTCCTTGCTCGCTAAACTGCACAGGCGCACCACTCGGGACAGCCAAAACACCCATGGGGGGAGAGCGTCTGGTTGCTGGAAATGTCAAACTGCTTTGTCACGTCCAATCTTAGTCAGGGAGCTTAGAGGGAGTGTGTGTGGTGGGCAAATATGCACGCTTCTACACCCAACCCTTAGGCCATTACTGGAACCTGCCACTGTTATTTTTTTGTGTGCCAGTGACAGAAATTTTCATCTGTGATACAACATGTTCCCTTTCAGAAATACAAGTTTGATTAAAGCCTTAATAAATTAATTGGGCATGTTACACAAGACTGATACCAAATATTTTTCACCAAACCAGACATCATTAGAGGCTTTCTCTGTTCAGATATTCAAGTTTGTTAGTTTATTGGCGTGTAGGCGAATGAATGGCAGCCGGCCCATTTTCCTGGTGTGAATTTGATCTTTCTATTCTCAAGTCTTAAGCCTTCTTTTTTCACTTGATTCAACTCTTTCCTCGTGCCAATCTTGCATGCTTGAAGAAGATTTTCTTTTTTTTTTCTTTCGTTTTTTTTTTTTGAGGGTGAATATTTCTACCCACTCACAAGCTGTTCGGCCTGTTACATACGTACATGCAGTTCAGGACTGTAATCACATCTGTCGTACTGTCACCAAAATACGGCATAGTCGAGAGTTGCTCAAATTAAGTCTGTTTCAAAGATGTACTTTTTAAGATCACAGATTGTGTGCTTTCTGATTGCACACTGATGTGTCTTAGTAGATGATTGCTCTGAATTTCAGTAGTTCCCTTTGCAGGGTGTTGCTGTCAATGCATATGTAGTGTTTTATAACCTTTGATAATAAGAATGTTTGTCAGAATTAAAGGTTCCTTTTAAACTAAATTCTACTTGTGTTCCTATCCTTAGTTTGATTTCTGGTACATCATATATATATTTCTAGTTATCAGGGCTACTACAGGCGCCTAAGGTACAATAGTGCCCTCTCTGTACTCTGAACCTTTTGTGACTTACCACAAACCCGCCTTGTCTCATTTCTGTTCACTTTACTCAGCAATTAAGAATGATTGTACTGAACTCTTGTTTCCACAGCAACTGATGCGGTCCTCAGTGTTTCACATGTTCATCTTGAGTATGGTGGCTGTGGACGTCATTGTTGCCGCTAGCAACTATTATAAAGGAGAGAACTACCGCCGACACTATGATGAGTTTTACCTTGCAGAGGTAAAATGACTTTTTATTCTTCTTGATTATAAATACAACAACAAGAAATGTATTAAGTATTATATTGTGTAAGTGGTCATAATAAAATAAATAATGAGGCAATTTGATTGTATTAATACCATATTGTAACATATAATTCTTAGGATTCATTGATAAATTAAAAGGACATTTTGCAATATGCATTAACTTAATCCTGGCCAGGAATGTATATGTGCCATGCAAGGTGACAACATCTGTTTGCTGCTGGTACAGCCCCATCTAAGAGTGTTTGCCAGCTCCCTCTTTCCTTGTCATCTCTCTCCTACTCTCTCTTTCTCTCTCTCTCCCTTTCTTTCTTTTGCTCCTGTCTTGCTGGCTGAGTGTAGGAGATAAGCTCTCACTGTTGCCTTTCCCACTCCCCACTACCGTATCATGTAGCCATCGATTGGCTGATTTGTTCCAATCTGTGTGAAGGCTGAGAGAAAAACAGTAAATACACTGGTCAAACAGTACATGAACAACTGTGTTAATGTAATAAGCTGCTTTTTTCTACCTGCCTGTCCACTAAGGTTAAAAAGTGTTACACAAGTTTGTAGTTAATGTTATAACCACAGCATACACTTGAAGAAACAAGAATGACTATACAGATGCTGCTTGTATTAAGAAATGTATGCCTCCACCAGGTTGCCTTCACAGTGTTATTTGACCTGGAAGCTCTATTGAAGATCTGGTGTCTGGGCTTCACTGGATACATCAGTTCCTCTCTGCACAAGTTTGAATCACTGCTGGTGGTGGGCACGACTCTGCACATCTACCCTGACCTTTACCATTCTCAGTTCACATACTTCCAGGTACATCTAATGCTTTAAGCTCATTTACAGCAATATACGCTCAACTGTATGCAAACTTAACAACGCAGCACCTTACTTTTGTAAATGTAAAATTAAATACATTATGAGTATAGAAACCTATTTACCCTTATGCATATACTGTAATTGCATTTGCTCTGAATATAGTGTTTAAAATAGTTAGTTTATTTGTTTCATTTATGAGAAAAATGTGTATTGCCAGATTGATAGCTACCGACAATCGAAGGTCTACCAACAAACCCTGACCAAGATGCATTATCTTTTGGGTTAAACAATAACAAGCATGAAACCTGTTGAGAGCACACTGCATCACTGACTCTCTAGTGAGCCTAGATCAATTCTGTTTCACCTTGAATCAATAAGACATCAATATCTTCCAATACAACTATGCAAGGCTATAGAGGCCATGCCTAAAATAGCATGGCTGAAATCTAAGTATTTTATTATATTGTTTTTCTTGTCCCTAGGTGCTGCGGGTAGTGCGTTTAATAAAGATCTCTCCAGCTTTAGAAGACTTTGTGTACAAGATCTTTGGGCCTGGTAAAAAACTAGGCAGCCTGGTGGTGTTCACAGCCAGCCTCCTCATTGTTATGTCAGCCATCAGTTTGCAAATGTTCTGCTTTGTAGAGGACCTGGACCGCTTCACCACATTTCCCAGGGTAAGTTATATAACTATCACATAAAATATTTGGATACTGTATGTGACATGCATTAATTGCATTATCTTTTTAAAGTACTTATATTGTAAATAATATTTTCTTTTTCAAAATTTTACTGCACAAAATGTGTTCTATATGTTACAACAGATTGTTCTAATCACGCATATTGCAATAGAAAGAAAACTTTGACATGTTTGAGTAACATTTCGTTGAATAAACGTAACTTAAGCTTGTTATAAATATGTAGTTACAACTAACTCTACATAATAAAACAATAAAAGGATTTACAGTACAATTTGCCGAATTTTGTCATAAAAATAGCAGTTTAACCTCAGTGAGTGCCATTTGAAGAGGCAGATGCCATTGATGATTTGCGTGATGCTACAACAGATGGGGAACTTCCTTTGATTTCTATGTGCTAGCGAGCTTGTGCCTCTCTCATTAGCCACATCTTACCCTTTTAATTTTGTATTTTTTTTTACACCAGCACCAACATTCCACTGATCCTAGGCTCAGCGGGACATGAAGGGTTGCTCGTAAACAGATGTCACTTGTTTTTCGTCTCCTTAAAAAAACATGCTTAACACACCCAAGTAGAGCTAACGCATGCATGCAGTGGGATAGTTAATGCTTGTTGGCTGTTCCCTTATGGGCAAAGCTTTACACAGGTTAATCTTCATACAGCGGGGACTTAGGCAGAGGCTACGTGCTGTCTGGAGACATTATCCATAGATTTAATTCATCAGTCATCTTAAATTTAATAAAGTAAAACAGACAAACAGACAGCAAATGGAATTAAGAAGCACATGTGGGTGTTTTTCAGTCATAAAAACATAACATTCATTAATTTTCTGTGAAAATTGTCTTTCACAACCAGGTGGGAGCAGTATTTGAAATGAGATCATTATGACTTATCGGTCAGTACATGCAAGCTGGAATGTTTTGGGCTCAGTATTTATTGTGTGTACATTTTCTTTGCAATAATGAGCACATTTTATTATCATTATTTATTATTATTATTATTATTGTTGTTGTAATATGATATGATTTGAGCTATAGAGGATTGAATAATTTTATGGCAAATTATTAGTTCATTCTGGTATATATTTGTTAGAACTCTTGCCTTTTAATGATACTGTATATTTAAAAAATGGGTTTATTAAGATTAGAATCCTGCTTTGTGTGAGTGGTAGTTTCAATATTATTGTTTATCACAATATTTCTCTGTAGCAATGTATCATACTTCAAAATGTATTATTGGGACAGGCCTAGATCTGATATATTTGTGCATTGTTTCTTCTTAAATGTTTTTGTTTGCTATTTATTGTGTAACTTGTATCCTCCAGTGCACAGCTTCCTTGGTGGTATCCTTTGTGGCCTGTGCCCTCCTTCACTCCTCTCCTTGTCTCTGTGCTGTGCTCCTGCAGGCGTTCATGTCCATGTTCCAGATCCTCACCCAGGAGGGCTGGATCGATGTCATGGACCAGACTCTGGTGGCTGTAGGTCGAGTGTGGGCTCCAGTAGTGGCCATTTACTTCATCCTCTACCATCTGTTTGCCACCCTGGTGAGTTATTAAGATACATCTTCATTTTTAAAGTTATTTTTATTTACAAAGATGTTCAACCCAGACATAGTAATTCTCATGTCCAGGGCGACATACTTTATAGGTAAGTTACGGTATTAACCTGTAGGACAATTTGTCCTTTGCATTTGACCAAACCTTCATTCAATGCCACTGGGGCAAACTGACTGGAGCGGAGGTCACATTTCCAGATCTTGAGTGAGACCTGGTTGATGGTCAAGGATACTTGGTGGAAGTTTAGTCAGTTGTGGATGTTATAAGTTCAATTTATAAGAAAACTGGGGTACCTGGATAAAACCTACCCAGACATGGGAAGAACATGCAATGCCACAATTAAACACCCTTCTGATATTATTTGCACTATAAGAATCTGTGCATTCAACAGATGTCTTTTTGAGGTACATCTAATCACACTTAATCTGACGAGCATTTGCTGACATTTGAGTGTTTGGTTTTCTGATCTGAGAATCCATCAGTACACTGTTTATCAGTACACTGTTTATGACTCACACCTGCTTTCAGACCAGTCTCAAATACACTGACCAAGCAGGCTCTGTACTTGCAAATGTATTGCAAATGCATAAACATATCTTGGGTTTCAAGTGAGGACCATTGCTGTACCAATTAACAATTTCTAATAAAAATATTATAACTTTAAACGGGCAAAAGTTGGTGAAGTAGTGAAGACACTGAAATCAGTCAATATTATAAGACATCAGTGTTTTCGTTCTTTACTTTTTTAGATTCTTCTGAGCTTGTTTGTGGCTGTCATTTTGGACAATTTGGAGTTGGATGAAGACTTGAAAAAGCTCAAACAGGTAAGACAAGAAATAACAAATTTTTCATGTGCAGTGTAATTTGGCGTTTAAATTGACCTGTTTCAAAGTAAAAAATTATCACAGGTACTTAATAGTTCAGTTTTTTGGTTCTGTGAGAAATGTTTTGCTCAGTGACGTAAGCAGATTGCAAATGGTTAACATATGCATAGATTCTGTTATCACATCCTTTTAAGTTATTGATTTAACACATGCAATATTTACAGTAGATAGATGTTATTTCCAATCCTAAAATGCAAACTAAATTGTCCTATGATTTTGATATTTCAAATGTGCTATTACCTTCCTGTACCTTTCCTCTCTATGTGGAAAGATGGGAACATTGTCCTACCTTCACTTTGATATGGACGGGTTGACAGACGCATATCTTATAGACAGTATATAAACTGCAGTGGTTGGCAGCTGGCCGGTCTCCGCTTGCTTGAAAAGGTTATTTCCCACCCACAGCTGAGTGATTATGCGCAGTGACTGTAAAATTGCCTATTTTACAGGTGCTTCAATCATGGATACAGACTAAAAATAGAGCATAGATGGTGATCACCCTCTCAGAAGAGAATGCCTCCTCTCTACAAACATTTGGCAAAAGCCCAATTATGTGGCCAGTGGTCTCCCAGAGATACTCATGTGGCCTGAGAGATGAGGAACCACTTAGTGTGTGTATGATGGATCCTTTTGGCCCCCTGTTTGATGAATGACTTCACTGAGGGGGTAATGTTTGTTATTCATCATTAAAGTGACTTATATCCACAGGCTTTTGTTTAAAATTGGGACAGTTTTTCTTACTTGAGAGCTTATCGTTGGAAAGAATCTTTCAGGAATAGCATTGTTTTATCATACAGTTGTGGAAAATCTATTGGCTGTATATTACTAAAGTATTTAGCACCATTTTATACTTAGTCAAACAGACAGTTGCTGAAAGAAAAAAAATGATTTGGGGAATATGTTAAAGCTAAAACAAACAAACAAACAAACAAACAAAAACAGTTGTATGCAAAGTTGTGCCAGCCATCTGTAGATGAATGACAGAGATTTAAATATATTGCTTAGAGTTACTTTCAAGCATATGTGTGTGTATATATATATATATATATATATATATATGTATATATATATATATATATATATATATATATATATATATATATATATATATATATATATATATATATATATATATATATATATATATATATATATATATATATATATATATAACAAACAACCTGATACACTGTGGGAATACAATCTATTTTGGAACATAATGGCTTGGCAGCATCCTGCTTTCACCAGTCTTTTGAGCGCATTAGTGCAGTGTCAGTGGGTGAATTTAGAAGAGGAACTACCTGTGTGACTCATACATAAACAAGTGCACAAGCTAAACAATGTCTGTATGCTTGTTCTAGTTTTATTCTGCTGCTGCTGCTAAAATAAACCACTTTCATTTGTCTTCACTCTACACTGAGTAGATGCTACAGGCAGCCACCAAGGCACTGTCAATAATCTCTCATTATCATCATCAACAACAGGTGAATGCATAAAAACAATTAACCTTTACTGACTGCTTGTGCCTGCACATGGTATGGTCATTATTCACAGCGTATTCTATATTTTATTTTAAGGGCCCATATTATGCTATTTTCTGATCTATGTTGATCTACATTGTTTCCTAATCAAAAACATACCTGGAATTTTGTTTTTGTTTCATTCACACATGTTTAACACAAAAATCCTGCATCTTTTAAGATGAGTTCTTCTCTCTCTCTCTCGAACTAAAGGTAGCCGTTAACTTGAAAACTATCGCTTCATAACTTCACAAGGTGGAACAGCGCATTTTGAGCTTTGAAGGTGTAGACAGCTTAATAATAAATGAAACAAAAGACAACTCCAGGCATGTTTTTTAGGAGGTAACAGCATTATAACATGGCTTAAAGCTCACAAGAGTCCATTGTGTGTAATATAGGACCTTTAACTATGCCCTCTATTTTCGTTATGTCCTAAGTTTCTGCCAAATGCCAAATATATGCCAATACTGTTTTGGATTGACCACCTTGGCGCTTTGACACATACTGTATTTCTTCTTCAGAGAATCTAAAACCGTTTAAACCAAAATCTCCTCTGTGATGAAAGAGGGGGCTGGTGCATTGGATAGTATTGCTCCTGTTATTGCTTCACCTTCATTTATGGTGTCACAGATTGGCTTTGTGATGGGTAAGAGTGATGGCACATCTCAATTCTACAAATCATCTGCCCCTCACCCCAACACACACACACACACACACACTCACTCCACACAGCGATCAGAACCAGTGCGAGGGCCGGGGAGGAGGGAAATGTTGATCTTGTGCCTCTAGATATCAGCCAAATAGAAAAAGGTGTTTACCCCTCAGGCCAGCGATAATGGAGCTGATGACGCTGATGTGTTGTGCGTGCTTTGCTATCTTAGTGGGGACGTCACCATACATTTACACTCAGGTCCTGCACAGCATTTGTCATTGATGCTAGGCCCTGGTTTTTCTATAGTTAAGATGTATATGTTTTGGGGAGATTCCTATAGCGAGCATGAGCACAGCTGTTGCACCTCATACTTGATATCAGTGGTGGAAGAAGTACTCAGTTTTGTTATTTAAGTAAAAGTACTTGTTTAAGAAGATTGATAAGTAGTATTTTGTACATTTTGAGGTCTAATGAAGCTTCAGTTGTGCTAAATTTAAAGTGAATTGAATCGAATCATTTTTTTCCTAGCTGTTTTTCTTTGTATATTTGTGTTTGCTCAAACTACCAATGTGTTACAAATAACCCTCAGCCTTTTCAGTAGGTCTCATACAAATAAAAAATGCTTTCACTTTTCAGTCCAGTTCAAAAATGTAGTGGAGGAGAAAGTACAGATATCTGCTCTCAGGTATAGTAAAAGTAAAAAGTATCAATTTTAAAATCTACTTAAATAAAGTACAGTACTTTGCTTCCTTTACTTTGTTACGCTCCACCACTGCTTGCTATACTTATTGTTGTTGAGATTTTGTTTGAACTCAGGAAATACCAAAAGGGCTTGGAAATACAGAAGTGGAAAATTCCACTTGTAATTGTAGAACTCAAATCTTAATCGAATCGAGATCTTTTCATCAAAGCTTAAGGCTTTTTAATCAACAAATCTACAGACAATCCTACAGACAAACATGAGGTTTGGAGTTCTGGTTTGATATTTGTTAATGGACATTGATTCAAAGTCTGTCTTACATAAAATTGTTTATTAACATGAAATAAAAATTGTATGTTTATGAGGATTTGCAAGGACAATTCGCTCTGGCATTTTCCAGACTAGCACTCCAGCCCTAACATGTGGAACAGCTTGCATACGGAGGGGGGATTGTGTGAGGAGAAGTGCCACTGGTAAGGAGATCGCTGCCCCTAGTGTGACATGCGCGTCAGCTCGGGCACACAGAGTGACAAGGCGCGCTCGTCAGAAGAGATTCGTCTGTCAAAGTGTCAGCTCCCAACACTGTGAGCTGTTGTCTACGGCCAGAGATGACACAGGGAAGGCGTGTGCATGGAGGAGATGCACTTGAGAGAAGTGTGCTGTGGAGATTTAGGATGGGTTGTTTTGTGTTGCAGAAATCAGCTATGGTTACTGTGGCAACTACGACAGGGCTTTTGTGGCCACATACTAACTGTTGCCTTATGATATTGACATGCTTATTTGTTTGTAGGCTTGACTGCTGTGTAGGAATAGGTGATATTGACAAAAGTGAATCTATTTTTTCATGGCAAATAATCAGGCCATATTTTACCAATAAAAAAAATAAATAAAATAAAATAAAATAAATTAAATAAAAGATTAAAATGGACCTGTAAATGTCTTGGGTCTTGATTGTCACTCAGAATGTGAATGGATCATAATATTAACTAAAGTGCATGAAAATCACCCATAGTATACAGAGGATATAACAATTACTTTGCAGTTTGTATTTATTTTAGCTCTTTGTGCTCCCTTTTTGTCAGAAACTACATACTCAAGCTTCAAATTGTGTTTATCTCCTAAATAATATGTTTACATCTCCCTCTTTCAGTGCAATGAAGCTTTTTTCTATTTTCTTTAATTCCAGGCTGCACTCAAATGTATTTTGCCAAGGAGCTTCTAGTTTGAGTAATTGAAGGGTGATTGATTATATTAAGGCCTCCCTCCACCAAGGATTTCATTATTTATGAATAAAACTAAAAGCCTGTCCCCATTTATGTGATTTAATGGAGCGAAGACTTATTTGGGGATTTAGTGGAGGAGAAGAAAGGAGCAGAAGAAACAGAGAGCAAGAAGAAAGAGCATATTCCTCAGAGACTCCAAAGACAATGCCCTCTTATCTGACACTTCAATGTGCCTTTGGAAGACACTTAGGACCTAAGTGTGCTCCTTACCATATTTGCACAATCTTTATTTAAACAAAAGGGGCTCTGGCTCTGATAAATACTGCTAAACATCTTGCTTATGTTTTGAGCTGTTACTATTTTAAGAGTTAGTTATATATCACATGTACTGTGGTTGACTATCTTGGAAATATTAAAGAAAAGGAAGACTATTACTCTTGAAAAGATGTGATTTTCGACATGATTTTAAAAGCACAGTTGTTTTGCTTGTTGGTGGTAGCTATTAACGGATTATGGCCTTTGAGGCTTTACAGCAGCTCCGAAGCATTCATGCCTCATTACTCACCTAATGAGAAGAGAGGGTGACCCTGAACACTCTCAGACCTTCTTTCTCCTAATGTTTCAACACAGCTGCCCTTCGGCCTGCACTGTATGTAATCACACTGGCTCTCAGCAAATATGGACTGCAATAGGACTTACATTCAGGATTTGGTGTGTTTTGGTGGCATGTTTCCATGGCCAATGTATCAGATCAGACAAGTCAGAGAAGTCACAAAAATGATTGCAGTATATTAATCACCATCATTTGGTACTCTTGTCAAAAATATCGATACAAATACTAATCAAAACTCCTTTGAAAAACAAAAACATGCATTTGGAATGTATTGATCTATATCAGTATATCAGAACTATCATTATTATAGCATTCCATTGTATTTAATGTATGAAGTTTAAAAATATATAATTGTGGTAATAATTGGTATTCAGTATCAAGTGTCTAAACCATTGAATATTTGATAGTGATGTGTATATAAGCAGTTGAAATGTCAGTTGTGTTACTGGCAGGTCCTCTGTCTGTGCTCTCCATCTGTTTCCTAATGATGTGGTTTATCTGAACACACTTGTCTGTCGCTGTGGCTCTTAAATGGCACCATTGAAATAACTAGCGGTACACCTCCTCCCACTGGCTCTCCACTGCTGCGTGTGGGCAGTGGTTTGAAGGCAGCTGTTCATCACTTCCCATTGTACCATTAGTGCTTCTCACAGTTACTCATACATTGGATGTTTGTATGCCTCAAAGGCATTTTCATTAGCCTCTCCGGAGAGCGTGGCAGCAGCGCACAGGGAGCAAGTGTCTTATAAATGGTTTTACATCTGTTTGGGCTTTATTACCATTTTACCATAATATAAAATAGCTTCTGCCATGCAGTTTGATAAGTAATACATAAATGTAATAGTAACGCATAATGTGCTTTACATATGAAAGTTAATGATTACCGATAATGAATTCAAGACAATATATATTGTCTGTTGAACGCATATTCATGTGTTAGTTAAGCTAGTGAGTCATCCTGCAGGTTCCTTGTTACATGACCCTTCATTAATCAATCTAAAATCATTTTAGCGAGACAAATTCATCTTCCACTTTGTCTTCCATTGGACGCCTGTCAATAAGTGTCTCTAGTGTGACACCAATAGTTACCATTTGTTTTCTTTTGTCAGGTAGAAGCCATGAAAATCCAGGACATAGACCTTTCCAGCTCAGCCGAGCCTGAAATTGGCCTGAATGGAGAGGAAGCAGTGGCAGGTCACCTGAATAGGTCTCAAGTCAAAACACATTAGTCTCGGCTGCATTGGTGCACCTACATAAACTCAATCTCAACTGGGTCAGGCCAGGCAGTAGTTTTGATTTATCAGCCTTTTACTGTCACAAACAGTGCGTTTTCCACAAACGCAAAACTTCCTCCTCCTTCTGTTACTATCAGGCCTATATAAGGTTTAAAATGGATTTTGTAGTGAGCACCCTGCCTCTGCTCCCTTCCTTGCCCATGTGTGCTTATTGACTTGATGTATTGACAAGCTGAAGGTTCTGTGCTTTTCACATGCTGCTAATAGTAACCTATGGGAACTCTGTGAGAGTGCCGGCTGTAGTTAGCATTTTTCATTCTAATATAACAAAACAACTACTTGCTATGCATTTAGTGCCTTAGTTTAATGAACTGCATTGTGTAGAAATCTAGTCAAGCAATTTCGACATATTTATATTATTATTATTATTTATATTTATACCACTGACTGGAGTTGTCATTCCATTGCTTTGAAAGTATTATCAAATGATTCTGAACATGAGGCTAGTTTGATGCAATACCCCTGAAAGAACAACTGATTAGAAGTTGGACAAGAGGAGAAGTGCACAAGCTGACAGAGAGAAATGGTGTAATGTGAAACAGCAGCAGATACAGTGAGGGTGCATTCCGAGCCTTGGCTAAACTGAAGATCTTGCTGAGTTGGCCCAAATTGATTAGGACCTTTGGGAATGGCTGGGTCCATATTAATTCTACAGACTGTGAGAATGTGTGACTTCTGTTTGTGTGTTTGTGGAGCACTTGTAAGTATGTCTGTGAACTTCATGTCCTGAACTCAATTCCCCATCTGTAGATGCTGTTCAAGATTATGCCAGCACTTTTTACTTTGCTCTGCAATAAATTTGTAGAACTGAACTTATAATATCTGTCAGGACATTATGACTTAGATTGTCTATTTGTGATTATTTTAAAGTGTATATATGTTACTGATTTCACTAGCACTTAAGTTGTCCCAGCATTTTTAATGGGATTGCTGGTGTTGACGTCAATTTTACAAAACAGCGCTATTTCCTGTATTTCTACTTTTCTTCTCATATTCTTCTCAACTTTTCTTTTTTCCACAAACTGTCTCTTGACTGACGTAAAACTATGACAAATATTTACTGTGAATATTATCCCAGCAAATGAAGTAATAATTAGAAAAACATGAAAGCCTGTCATGTGCTTGGAATTGTTGGTGCTGATGACATACTAGTAGGCCAATTTTAGAACACAGCGCTACTTCCTGTATTTTTGTATCTTTCTTCTCATATTCTCAACTTTTTCCCCCACAAACTGTCTCTTGACTGACGTAAGACTAAGATAAATATTTACCATGGATATTATCCTAGCAAACTAAGTAATAATTAGAAAAACATGAAAGCCTGTCATATGCACTTTAAAGTCATTGTTTCATTTAATGTTGTTTCTGCATGCATTTCTGTCATTTTATGTCTGAGTCCTCCTCTCTTCATTGTTTTCTTGCATTTACATTTTATTCACAGAAAGCCCAGACAGCCAAACACAAGCTCTCTTTTCGCTTTTCCTGCACATTATGCCACTCACTCTCCCACTCAGGGTAAAATAGACATTCACATATTTTTGCCTGTGAGGAAAAGAAATAGTTGAGACTGAATTCCTTTTGGCACTTTTGTCAGCTCCCTCTCTCCCCATACCCCACTATCCCGAGAAAACGCCAGCCCGCTCCTGGTATTTCTGTCAAATCGAAATACCAATACCCGGGCAGCACAGAGGCAGGGACTTTTGCATTAGCGTACGGACAGACAGACAGCGTGACTGACGTGGAAACATTCGCCATGGCCCAGTCGATGTGTTTCGCGGCGGTTGCCTGCTCAGAATGATAAGCTGCCGCTCACTCTTGCTTCAAAATGCACTCCGCTTCCCCACGCCTAATCTGCGATGCATCAGGGGTTATCTCCAGGCTTCCAGACAGAGCAAGGCACCTGCATGGGAATTTCAATCAACCACCCTCATATGTAATTAAAAAGATATAATTGGTTTCATCTTCCAGTTCAATATGGGCGTGCATATGATTCTGTATTATCCAGTGGCTGCCTCTTGATTTGTCCATTATCCAACCCAAAGTAATCTGTCTGTTTTGTTTTTTCTTTTGTTGCTTTCTTCATTCTTTTCCAAAAGTAAGTGGGAATCATGCTCATTGTGGTTATATATGTGTGTAGTAGGTAGGTGTGTTGGTGCCATCATCAGGCATAAACATGAAATTGCAGTTTAATGTCCTCAATAACTCCCTATTTTGCCTCTGTTTTCAAAGTGATGGCTTTTCCTTCCTTTTCTTCAACTCGTGATTGGTTTCCGTGCTTTCTTAAAAGGCATTTGTCTCACTTTGGTGTGCAATTCTTAACGCTGGACTTGTTTTTCCAGCTCAAGCAAAGCGAAGCCAATGCTGACACTAAGGAAAAGCTGCCTCTTCGATTGAGAATCTTTGAGAAGTTCCCCAACAGGCCACAGATGGTGAAAATCTCCAAGCTCCCGTCGGATTTCACAGTGCCCAGGATCAGGTGCAGATACACTCAAATACTGTGACTACTTTCATGCTGTCATTTTTTTTACTTTTAATTTAATGATATGCAACACCAACTGAAAAAATTATACTGTTTCAAAGATCTGAAATGCCATAACAGTAACTTGCAGGTGCCAACATTGCCTTTCTAAAATGTTTCTCTTTCTTTCATCAAGACCTTGGATATTTGTAATGTTTTGATTTTATGTTTTTGTAGGTCATTTACTAAATTAATGAATCCCAAATCTCTCATTATCAACAACAACATGTCTAGTACAACAATATTTCTAAATACCTGCAAAAAATTAACTTTAGTTCACACCTTAAATTTCCTTAATAAAGTGTGGTCAAAGTTTTAATTCATAATGCACAAATACTTTATTACGATTGATTCAGGCTTAACTGCTTAATTAAAGGGTTAGGGTATTAATAAATAAAAAAGCCATAATTAATGAACAATTTGTTTATTACGAATTAAGTCTCTGCTTTGTTATGGCTATTAAAAGTGTAGTTATGATAAAATGTTACAAAATAGTTCAGTAGTTTAGTCATGGCCGTATCATTTTATGTATTTTTTTATTGTTTACATTCGCTAAACTGGCCATATTTGCCATGACCATTCCTAGTAAAAAATATATAACCACATTATAATATTGCCCCAGTGATTGTTATGTTCACACTGCACATTAACTATCATTACATTTGTGTGTCAACTCCAGGGAGAGTTTTATGAAGCAGTTCATTGATCGGCAGCAGCAGGATACCAGCTGTTTATTCCGGCGTCTCCCCTCAGCTTCGTCTTCCTCCTGTGACCACTCTAAGCGCTCTGCCATTGAGGACAACAAGTATATTGACCAAAAGGTAATTAAAAGCATCCCCTTTAACATAGGAGCAGTAATAATATATTAAACAGCATACTTAAACAGATCAATAAATAAACCAGACCTTAAACCAAACTGAAAATACAGCTACCATCAGAATGTGATGTATTGATTCATGTTTCTATACAATGTGTCTGCCTGTCAGCTTCGCAGGTCTATTTTTAGTATCAGAGCACGGAACCTCCTTGAAAAAGAAACTACTATCAATAAAATTTTACGGTAAGATTTCACTGCACACCTGTGACCTAGAACTTAAATTCCTCACCACTATTGTTGCAGAGCAGAGTCGTTGCAATTTCACAATGGAAAATATAGTTCTGAACTTGAGATTTGATGGTGTTGATCATAGTTAAAGAGCCAGTATTATGTAACTTTTTTGAGCTTTCTACTATGTTATAACATTATTCCCTCAAAAGCATACTTGAAGATCTTTTAGATGTCAACCATCCATGTTTGTGTATTTTAGAGATTTCTCCCTGGTCCTATTTGAACCCTTCTTGTGGTTAGCAGTAAGATTCTGTGCATTGCTCAGCCCACAAGCCTATGTCATCCATGCTTTCTTGACAATTCTCCATACATATATAAAAACATGAAACAAAACTGTAAAAAGCTTCACAAAGTAGTTTTTGTAGCAGGATGCACAGTGATTATGTTGTCATAGTGCTCTGTAGGGGGAGTGACTTAATGCAGAATTCCAAGTGAGGGGACGCTCAGAGTAACAAAAATAAAAGTTAAACTTACAAAACATGTTAAAATATTATTTGCCGCATTTTCAAAACAATAAAAGATAACATGGTGACCCAAATATGTTATGTGTTAGCATTTAATACCTCATACAAGTAAAATACCCCATCTTTAAGATTCATGGACAATTTCTTCAAATTTGTATTGTGTTATTTTATATATACATTTATTTTTCAAAATGTATGTGTGTGTGCTAATCTCGACACTCAGAGACTCATACAGAGCCACTTCAGACTCATTGAGCGTGACAATGATGTAAATGGATAATTTGCTGTTCGGCATTGCAGGGCTGGCTCTACGTGTAGATTAGCTTACCGTCACCGTGTCCAATGTGGCTGAAGCGTACCCCCTCCCTCTCCTGCCCCCTTCTGTCTGTCAGTGTAGACAGCCTATCAGTAGTCAAGGCACGTTCTGTCTGGACGCCTATCTTCTTCTCACTCACAATGAATGAGACTTATGCTCACGCTGGCATGAGCAAACACACTCATGCATACATGGCCTTGAGATGAGCTGTTTATTATTATGATCCGTAAAAGCTGGGGCCTATGGGGTTATTAGCTGTTGATGGCTCTGCATTTATCCCACACGGGCCCGTTGCACTCGTATGCACTCTGTTAATGGAATGATTGGAGAGTATTAAAATTACACTGTTGATGACTCCTTTTATTGGTCCAGGCTCATGCCTGACTGTTAAACAGGCCGTTGGACAGGATCCAGTGGTTGATTATGAGTGAAACAAAAGTGTTGTTTTTGTTTTTCAGAGCATGTACCAGACAACGGATGCTAAGTGGATCTTTTGAAGGCCAGCCAGCCAAAGAACGCTCCATTCTCAGTGTCCAACATCATATTCGCCAAGAGCGGAGGTAGGCAGTGAATAGACAGACATTTGAGTTACTGTAGTAGATGTATAAAAGAATAAGATGCCTAATTTATATGTATAGTAGTAGTAATAGTAGTTTTGATGTACAGTGGCACTTCAACAGAAGTACGCTTTAAACCTAACAGTCTTGTGTACATTACTTTGACTGTGCAGATTTATCTTCTTCTTATCAATAATATGTTTATGTCTAATAATATGAAAATGATTTGTAGGTCTCTCCGACATGGCTCTACCAGTCAGAGGATCAGCAGAGGAAAATCTCTGGAAACACTCACTCAAGATGTGAGTGCACCTAAATAGTTTAATAGTTTAATAATTTTGCTCAAATATTTTATATTTTATATTTATTTATTTTATAAATGTGTGTATTTAAAATATGGTTATCCTTTTTTCCATCAGCATTCTAGCACTGTTCGCTACCGCAATGCTCAAAGGGAGGACAGCGAGATCAAGATGATTCAAGAAAAGAAAGAACAAGCAGAGATGAAAAGGTTTGTTTGCTGCAGTTTCTTTCAATATCAAATCCAAACATCCTGGTCTGATCTATACTGTGATCTTTGTACTCAAAAATCAGTTGTATTTTTGTGTTGTAACAGAAAAGTGCAGGAGGAAGAGTTGAGGGAAAATCATCCATACTTTGACAAGCCCTTGTTTATTGTTGGTCGGGAGCACCGCTTTAGAAACTTCTGCAGGGTGATAGTTCGGGCACGTTTTAATGCGTAAGTCCTGTGGAACGTGCACTGTTTCTTTCTCACTCTTTTCTAAGTCTAATATGTAGTCAGAAGAATAAGAACTTGAGAGAGTTTAGTGATTAGTGATGACATAACATTAATGCATCTCTCTCTGAGTAGATCCAAAACTGATCCAATAACTGGAGCTGTAAAGAACACCAAATATCACCAACTCTAGTAAGTCAATCAATCAATCATTTCTTTCTCTGACATTAAACATTCAAATCTGTGTGCTATTCATCTTCATACCTTGAATAACAATTGTGGTCCGTAATGAAACTGTGAAGTGAAAAGCTGTGAAAAATACATTGCTAATTTATGCATTTCTGTTCTGTGTTTAATGCCAAGCTTTCATAATCTGTCCGATTTCAATCTAAATGGTTTTTCACTGTTTGCATCTTCATACAGTGATCTCCTGGGCCTGGTTACCTATCTGGATTGGGTAATGATTGTGGTGACCATCTGTTCCTGCATTTCAATGATGTTTGAATCACCTTTCACCAGGGTCATGCAGGTCCCCACTCTGCAGGTAAAAACCGAGCGATTGACGGTTGTGAGTGATCAAATGAGCATCTGCACAAATTAACAGATGTCCAAATGGTGTGGTCTTGTTTCAGATCGCGGAGTATGTGTTTGTCATATTCATGAGCATCGAACTGAATTTGAAAATCATGGCTGATGGACTGTTCTTTACCCCCACTGCTGTCATCCGAGATTTTGGAGGGGTCATGGACATTTTTATATATCTTGTAAGTAATTCAAGCACATACACTGGCCTCCCCTTTGGTATAGATATAGCACGTAGAATTTTAATGCTATTTTGTTTTAGCTTTTATATGTAGGCTATTATCTACACCAGAAAGGCTCTCTTATTTTACTGACCTCTTGTGGTTAATAGAAGTATTTGTTGTCTCAGTGACAGACAATTTCTTTTATGAAATCAATTATGCATCTCAGTTTCCTAGTTCCACAGGAGAATCTTATAATTTATTCCTGGCTTATTAACTTTGGTGAAATTGCTAATTTTAACTATTACAAATGGTTATAATAAGTGATTAAAATTATTACTTCTTTCCAATCTCAAGACTATAAATAGAGAGTACTGTGTCAGGGCATCAGGTGTAATGCACATAACTAATCTCTGCATGTTAACACCTTCTAAAGGGAAAAACCCAAAACATATTACTCATTGTAATAATCATTATATGGCAGCAATGGATCATTTGACAGTATGTGGCTGCTACTGACATATGTCCTTGTTCACATGTCTCCTTGAAATCTCCTCCGTGTGTGAAGGTGAGCCTGATCTTTTTATGCTGGATGCCTACGGACGTCCCCCCTGAATCTGGAGCTCAGCTGCTGATGATGCTTCGCTGTCTGCGTCCTCTCCGCATCTTTAAGCTGGTGCCACAGATGAGGAAAGTGGTGCGGGAGGTCCTCAAAGGGTTCAAGGAGATTTTCCTGGTCAGTGCAGTATACCCTTACATCTCACCAACAGTATAGTGGATATATATACAGTCATTAGTTTTAGCCAGTTAAATTGTTCAAAGCTGGCCCATCTGATTTATAAACTATGAAATTAGAAAGCAGATTTCTGTCTAAGTAGATCTTAACTCTCACAAACACTTTGGCACATTGTTAGAATGACCATCCCTGATTTGTTTGGCTACTAGCACATGTTTAGAACAGCTTTTAAGAAGGAAATGAAGCAAGATGGACCATTAAAGGGGAACCAATAAGCTTTATCGCAACGCACCATATGTGAAGTGAAGGAAATCTATGTGTTCTTAGCGCTTTATTCATAATAGCGTAAACCCTTAGATAAGACAGGCAGTTTATAATAACAATATTCTGCATCTTGCCAGGATTTTCTGTGCAGGTCTCTTTATGTTTTCACCTGTGTGTCATCTTAATCCTGTTCTCTAATCTCTCAAACATGGATTATGGTGAACTGGCATCACTAAATCCTGGTAAATTCTTCCCACAGGTCTCCATTCTGCTCCTTACACTAATGCTGGTGTTTGCAAGCTTCGGAGTTCAGCTGTTTGCCGGAAAGCTCGCCAAGTGCAACGACCCAACCATTCTGCTGCGGGTATGACCGGATATGTAATCTTTTCTCTACTGTCCAAACTATATGATTTGCCTTTTTGTTTCATTCTTGCTCAGTAATCCTGAATGAGAAATTACTAGGAGGGATTTCCTCAGTTAAATAAGTGTATCAATAGACTGCTAGGAGATATTTTTATGTGCTGTTTTATATAAGAAATAGACAAGTATGGACTAATATGTGTTTGGTAACAGGAGGACTGCCATGGCATCTTTCGAATCAATGTCAGTGTTTCCAAAAATCTCAATCTAAAACTGAAGCTTGGAGAGAAGAAACCTGGGTTCTGGGTACCAAGAGTCTGGTATGATCGCTCATTTCCATTTTAGCTGTGGTCATAAACTTGTTGTTAAAAACTTGGTTGCAACTTTCAACAGGGCCAATCCTCGTAATTTTAATTTTGACAATGTTGGGAATGCTATGCTGGCCTTGTTTGAGGTCTTGTCCCTGAAAGGCTGGGTGGAGGTCAGAGATGTCATCATTCACCGCGTTGGACCAGTATGTCTTTTGTATTTGTCTTCTGTATTTGCATTTCATTGTTGTTGTACATTTGATCTGAGATTGGTTGAAACTGAACTGATTCCCGTGTATTTCTGCAGATCCATGGAATTTACATCCACGTGTTTGTGTTTTTGGGCTGTATGATTGGACTCACTCTGTTTGTTGGTGTTGTGATTGCAAATTTTAATGAAAACAAGGTACAGTGATGAATACTGTATTTCTAACACATAGAAAAACTTTTAGCAGAGTTCTGATATTACTGTACTCATCTTTTGCTTGCTTGTTTCCCAGGGCACTGCTCTGCTTACTGTAGATCAGAGGAGATGGGAAGATTTAAAAAGTCGACTGAAAATTGCCCAGCCCCTACACTTGCCTCCTCGTCCAGGTGAAACTGATTGTACCACATAGTAAAACTGTTATCAATTGACTTAACAATTAATATACATAAAATATGTATTATTTATGTGTCTTTGAGATTGGTAGACAGGAAAGAAATACTGATAGATACAGTCTGTATTTACTGTTAGGTTCCTATGAACTTAAACAATTAAATTCCTCTGGTTCACATCAGGATCTGTGTATAGAGCAGATTTGTCAGAGGCAATGTGGGAAATAGTCTCTCTTACTACAGTTGAGTGTGAGAATAAACAGGAAATCAATTGTATCCATCATAGTGAGCAGTCGCGCTGACAAAAGCAGAATCAACCTGACTTTGATCTACATCCAAAAGCCTCGGCCTCTGGCTCTGCTCATTCACAACAGTCCATTACAGCATGCCCCACATATTTATTCTATTATTCTCGATTATTGTTATGGAGAATAAAGCTGTGCACTCACCAAAGAATTCTTGGCAAAGGCTTTAATCTCGACATAAAAAACTCCATAATTCAGGGATTTATTGTAACTCTGGTTATGACATGTGGTCCATGAATGCCCCCTGCTGGACTGTATCAGATACTACTCATGACAACATTTTGTACTACTCAGAAAATTGCATTTTTGTTCTGTTGACCTTAGATTGATTTCATTCCTGCATTCAAACTACAGTACATTATGTGAAAACTATGTATTTAATAAGACAAATTTATCTTCAGAAAATGGTGGCTTTCGTGCCAAAATGTATGACATCACTCAACATCCCTTCTTTAAACGGGGCATTGCTGTTCTTGTGCTGGCACAGTCGGTGTTGCTCTCAGTTAAGGTACACTCCCCATTCGTTTGTTGTTGTTTTTAGAATATAAAATGTAATTGTTCAGCTTTACCTCAACAATATAAAATGTGTGAACAAAGCTGTATGCGCCATTTTTTAGTGGGATGTCGATGATGATCAAGTCACATTTCCTCTGGCCACCATGTCTGTTGTGTTCACCTTCATATTTGTACTGGAGGTAGGACTTTACTGTTGCCCGACACTCTTCAGTATTTGTGAATGATGGACCTGGTTCAAATGTCTCTTGTGTTGTTACCAAGGTGACCATGAAGCTAATAGCCATGTCTCCTGCTGGATACTGGCAGAGCAGAAGGAACCGCTATGATCTGCTGGTCACGTCACTAGGGGTCATATGGATCATCCTACATTTAGCATTAATGGTTAGAAATGAATGTTGTGATTAAATAAATTATCAAATATGCAAAGATAAGCTCTAATATATCTATTTTCTCCTTAGAATGCATACACCTACATGATGGGCACTTGCGTGATTGTCTTCAGATTTTTTACTATATGTGGAAAGCATGTAAGTTTCTTGAAATTCAGCCATTGAAATATACATTGAAATGTATTGTAATATCTGTTTTGTTATGCTAAAGGTTACACTGAAGATGCTGCTGCTGACAGTGGTGGTCAGCATGTACAAGAGCTTCTTCATCATTGTGGGAATGTTCCTCCTACTCCTCTGCTATGCATTTGCTGGAGTTGTTCTCTTTGGCACTGTTAAATATGGAGAAAACATCAACCGGTAAAAATACACTCTGTTTATCCATGCCTTGTTTACACTGACTGCAGAAGATACTTTTTTTTCCCCTGTTTACAGGCATGCCAACTTCTCCACTGCTGGAAAGGCAATCACTGTTCTGTTTCGTATTGTGACAGGAGAAGACTGGAATAAAATCATGCATGACTGCATGGTGAGAGCGGCTGCTGTCACAGATAAAGAAATACACATAGACACATGTTCATGACAGATGTTTTTTTCTGGTCACCTCTAAATCTGTAGTCACTGATATAAGCAGTCAGTATATATAACATCTATGTTTTGCCAAAATATTAAATCCTGGTATTTTTGTCCATAGGTGCAGGCCCCATTTTGTACACCTGACAAACACCGGTACTGGGAGACAGACTGTGGAAACTATGCTGGAGCACTCATTTACTTCTGCTCTTTCTATGTCATTATAGCCTACATCATGCTCAACCTGCTCGTGGGTGAGTGGTTGTCAGCGTACTGTTTATACTCGCGTCACTCAATTCCTTTTTTATTTACTACTTGGCTCAATCACACCACCAGATCTAGGCTGAATACAACTCACATTGAATGCAATAATAATGAAAATACCTGAACTGTTACATGCAAAAAGCTTAATATTTACATAACTTAATTTGATTTTCTTAGGAAAGAACTCATGTTCTTGATGCCACTTAAAAATCAGTAAATAAGAACAAAAATATAAAAAGAGATATATATTTATTATTAAATGTGAAAGAGGGACTCTTCTTAAATAGAGTTCTTTTTTGATGACTATGGCCAAGTAATTTGAATGTATTGAATTGCTATGGCCTTTACAGTATTTGGGTAGTTGACAAAACACATTTTGGTCACGTGTCTATATGGTCTATGTGATACTTGAATGACTGTTAAAAAAAAAAATAATAATCTCATTAAATTAACATCCACAGAAATACACATACACATTACTGAAGTAGTCTCATTTATTAGGGTATATCATTAAATCCAGCAGGGGGGACCCCAAAGGCTGTCTGAACAACAAGTCCATAAAAGAAAATAGAACTGGAAATCAGTTTAATACATATTTGTTTAGCTGTAGTCCTCCTTAAATAAAGACCAAAGCCTACAACTGACGTACTGTGTACATTTAGAAGTAATAACATTATATTCTTTTGAATAGAGTGGAATTTTGTTAAAGGGCCCCCGTGGGATCTTTGGACTGATAAGAGGGCCGCTGTGCTGTAGACTTAATTGACAACGGCTTGCATTTCATATCAAATTGTTCTCATTCAACGCTCCAAGTTTATATCTGTGTTTATTTTAATTTCCGTATCCAATTATATGACATGATTTTAATTTCCTGCAGCTATCATTGTGGAGAACTTTTCCCTGTTCTACTCCACGGAGGAGGACCAGCTGCTGAGCTATAATGACCTGAGGCACTTCCAAATCATCTGGAACATGGTGGATGACAAACGGGAGGTGAGAAATTAGCAACAGAAAAAGATGAGGACACAGCAGTGAGAGGCTGACGGCCGCCTTATAGCTATGAGGCACAGCATAATATAGAAATGCAGAGAGATAATGAGAACAGCTGAAAGAAGTGAAACAATGGCAATGAACAATAGGAGTAAAATTAATTACAACAGTGGGAGATGAAATTAAAAAGTAGACCCCCCTCTTATTTATTAATAATGTCATCTCAGAGTTAGTTTCTTTTTTACTTTTTAATCTGGCCTTGTCTAATTATAACATAACAGAACAACTTCTTTACCAAGAGCCAATATATGCCTAGTATGTCGTCTCTATCACAACTACAGAAAAAGTCATTTTGATCAAATGATAGAGCTTTTCTTTTTCTGTACAATCTAATATTTACACCTATATCTTTATTGTACTTCTATGTCTTTGGTGGCCATTCCCTCTGTTCTTTCACCTAGCATGCCATGGTTCTCACATACCACATGCACTTTTACTGGTTCATAGTTAGTGCATGCCAACATGCCAACTTGAATTCACTTTTATCTACTAAAATTATCATAACATTATTTTGTTAAGACATTTAAAAAGGGGCAATAACCTTAAACACATGATTGGCAGGATCTTGCTCTTGCCCTCTTGGGTCTTACTTACTGGTATGTGGGTGATTGTGCAAGTGTGACTGAGTGATTTGTGGTGGTTAGAGAGGGCTTTGGCACAGAATGGCAGTGATGATATTTTTCTGACCTGTGTACCGTCCTCCTGGTTGTTCCAGGGCGTGATCCCAACATCCAGGGTGAAGTTTCTGCTGCGGCTGCTGAGGGGCCGGCTGGAGGTGGACCTGGACAAAGACAAGCTGCTGTTCAAACACATGTGCTATGAGATGGAGCGGCTGCACAACGGAGGAGATGTGACCTTTCATGATGTGCTGAGGTAAACAAGGACAACTGGACAGAGCACGCATCTGCTACTCACCATACTCTTTATATATTTTGATCAACACACATTACATTACTGTGTGTTTTACCTCCATGCAGCATGCTGTCCTACCGTTCTGTGGACATTAGAAAGTCTCTCCAGCTGGAGGAGCTGTTGGCCAGAGAACAGCTGGAGTACACCATTGAAGAAGAGGTTGCCAAGCAGACAATACGCATGTGGCTCAAGAAATGCCTTAAACGTATCCGTGCGGTGAGTCTCTCAGCGGAAACTACACAAAGATACAAACATGTATGACCACTAAGTGACCATGCATTGTATGTGTGTTTACTACAGAAGCAGCAGCAGTCCTGCAGCATCATACACAGTCTGAGAGAGAGCCAACAGCAGGAGCTCAGCCGCTTCCTCAACCCGCCCAGCATCGAGACCACCGTGCCAAGTGAAGACCACAATGCTAACAATACAGACAACCCCTCACAGCCTGAGGTGAGCCCCGCACACACACACAGCCTACACATGTCCTACACACCAACACAGTCTCAGCTTGATGCGCAGCTCCGGCATCATATAAGCTGCAGGTGTGCACTTGCTCTGCTGTAACAAAGGAGTTCTTGTCTTTGTGCAGATGAGTGGCCTCCAGCAGCTCCTGAGTCCCACACTGTCAGATCGAGGAGGCTACAGGCAGGACTCCTCCGACCTGGGCAAGCCGCAGAGGAAGCTGGGACAGTGGCGCCTGCCCGCAGGTCTGTCTGCCTCTTCATACTCCAGCTCACACTTTCTTCAGAAACATAACTATTTATAAGCTTTTATCTGACAAACAGTATGCATATGAAAAAGAAGCTCAAATGGAAATGTATTCTCTTAAATGCACAATAGCGCTCTGTCAAAGTTTTTGGGAAGATCTTCTAACAACAGAAAGTGTATTACAATATATTTTCTTTTTCCATAACATCTCTGTTGTTCCAACTTTTAAACGTTACTGTTTAGAGATACAAACCTGATTAAATTGTCAAGAAACCTTTGAACTTAGTTTTTTATCCTGGTGTGAGCCATTTGAACATTTGAATTTGTTTTAAATGGTTTCAGATTAATCCTTCTTGTCTGTGGGTCCTTTCCATTTCACTGTTTATCAGTGTCTTTGGTAATCCTGTTGACAGAAATGCATGTGTTTGTCATCTGTTAGGACGTACCAGTGTCAAGTCCATCGTGTGTAAGATGAACCCGGTGAAGGACGAGGCATCCTCGGGGTCAGAGGTGAAGAAGTGGTGGACCCGTCAGCTCACAGTGGAGAGTGACGAGAGCGGAGACGACCTCATCGACATTTAGGCATAGATCCAGAGGCTCAGACTTCAGGATACTCAATGTGGGGCCATACACCAACACTACTGGGAAAGATACTAGTATTCAGCTTCACAGTATGTATATTTTCTATGCAGGATTTTGACAGAGGAAAGGATAGTGTACAAATTCAAATGCTGCTGATGTTTGTGTCTTTCCTGTATCCCGTCTTTCCTAAAACATTGTTTCAAAAGCCTTTATACTTTGTGTTGTCTGAAGGTTTTCCTGTATGTTCTCTCTGTTACTTGCTCTTGCTCTCTGTTTCTTCTAATGCAAGAATATGAATTCCTGAAGCCACTTTATACTTTCATTCTAGTAGAGCACCATTTACTTTCATGACTGTGAATGTAAGCCAAATCTTACTATATAATGTGAGTATTTAAAACAAATGATATTTTGTAAATTATTACATATGCTCATATTTATTAAGTATTAAATTATTTAAAAAATAAAGACATAAGACATTTATAATACACATTTTGTCACTATTTCTTCTTCTGACTTGCAAGTTGTTCCGTTCAAGGCTTGGAGAAATGGATAGGTTTTGGCACAGTAAGCTTTGCTAACAATTCTCCACTACTGAAATAAGTGAAAGGTATTTGAACATTTTTTCTGTTGACACCTCTCCTGGATTTGTTGTTGAGGATTTTGTTTGTCTTTCTTCTGATATGAATTGTACTGCTCCACAGTGCCCTGAGTGTTTTTATTTTACAGCCAGGACCAGTGACGGTGGCCCTGTTAAATTGGATGCAGCCACAGTCCAGGACAGCATGAGTGCGATTGGACTGTACATGATACTATGCATATATGGCAACCCCTACCTCCATACGTCCGCCCTCACAGAGGTGCTCACATTACCCCTCCACCTTACATCACTGCTCCTTGACGATCTACTTCTTTCTAGTTAATTTGTCAGGCGATTTGGCCAGGGTTAGATTTGAGCTAATTGACTAATGCACTCTGCGTTTATACAAGCCCCACTGCAGCCTGGAGTACTTTGCTGTTAACAAGGGCCCTTGTTAGTGACAGAATTAGCCCATTAGAGGAGACAGGGTCTTCATTTGTCCATTCAAAAGCTCCACGGTTGATAGAGTGTGTATGTGTGGGTTTTTGGACCCTGGATAATGAATGTGAGTGTGGAAAGGCGCAGAGTCGGTGGGACGCCTACTTGCTCTATAGAAATCATGACTTACTCACACATTCCAACTCGTAGATGACTGAGTACCCCCCTCGACATATGGTCATGTAGGGAAACAGTGTGACATCAGCTTTCTTGCCAATCAACTGTCTTTAATTTCTCTTTCTTGTCCGCAACCAGTGCCTCTTAAAGCTCCACTTAGCTCATCAAAGGGCTTTTTCCTTTTTTTTTCATTTTCGCCCTGCGTGGTGGAACACTTTTTGTCTTTTAATTGCCTCTGCATCACATCTCTCCTTGCACTTACGGGCCCTGTTGTTTTTTCCTACCCTGGCACTATTGTAATTTGCCCATCGCTCCCTCGTGCATGTCCAGTGCTTATTTAGGGGCCTAATTGAAGCACTTTGGTAATTGAGGAGGAAGTTCTAAAGAGCAGAGGGAGTGGGGAAGAGTGTCTGTTGAGTTGAGATTACCTGTAATTAAAGTACATGATGGCTTTGATGGCTGCAGTCCTCTCCCGCCGAGATCTCGCCTTCAAACCCTGATGGCAACCGTGGCTTCACATGGATAGAAAATAGGCTCTTCTGGTGCCACTTGAGGTTGAAGATGTACATAGATTTTGACAATGTATGTATGTGGGAGAGGGCCATTAAAAGGAACACACTGACATACAGTACATCTCTATTGTAGTTATTTCAAAGGGCAAAGGAGGCATGTGATAACTTTGTTGCATACCTATGGATTTACATTTCAGTACCTGTATCTGAGTTGAAGTATAATTGGAAAATGGGTCATTTTCTGTATTATCATTTTATTGTACCTGATTTATTGTACCTCTGCATTTGACCCATCCTCCAAAACCACTTGGGCACTCTGTCAGAAGCTGTGGGCATATGCAGTGTTTCACCTGGGAACCCATCTTGAGCTACGATTTGTTGGGATCTCCTAGCTGGATGCTTAACCATTATGCAATTTCTCTTTCTTTATTACTTAAGGTAAAGATTTAGACTTTATTGTCCTCATGGGGAAATTTGTTCTCTGCATTTGACTCATCCTCCTAGCTAAACGTTACTGAGAATTTTTTTTTGTCCCTTGTTACTTCCTTTGTTTATCTGGTTTATGCTGATTGACTAGTTTTGTTGTTTTAGTCTCACAACTACTTATTGGTGCAGCAGTTGCTACTACCACTACCCAGTTTTTAGATGATCTGATGTCAAAGAACTGAGACCAGAGAAATATGTATCATATTCAAGTACCAAGTAAATTAGACCTGAGAAATCATCACATGGAAGCTTGTTTTTATTTTTCCTTTGATGATTTTTTTTCTTTTACTATAATAATACTATTTTAAACACTATTATTTTTTCAGAAGGTAAGGTTTTTCCTTATTTTATTTTATTTTTAATTACCAGATGAAGAAATACAATTATTTACAGTGTGCATACATTTACATTGAGGGGGGAATGGTTTTGTGGGTACAGTCTAAAGAGTGTTTATCTGTAAAAGAGAGCGAAAAAGGACACAAAAAAAAAAAAAAAAAAGATGATGATGGTCATACATTTTGGAATAGATCCAAGCTAAACAAACAGCATGCAGCAGAGTTGTGTATGTGTCCTAAAATGGTAGTGTATTCAAAAACAGTGTGCATGTATAGAAATACTTCATAGTAAACACTTCTTTTACTCTTCCCACCTCTGATCTGAAATTACTTTTGGAAATGCACTTGCATTCATTCACCCCAGGTTTGGTCCTGATCCTGTCTCTGTGTTTTGAAACAGATGGCTACTACTACAATAAAAAGTAGCAAATAATTTTATCAGCAGGAGGTAAAAGCAATTAACGACTGGCATAATGTGTTGATTAACATCCATTCTGTGCTCAGTAATAGAGAAACAAGTCATTTTCCACTCACGCAGTCGGCTTACATCCACCACTTACAGCACTCTGACCTCCGTCTGACCACTGCTGCGATTCATTTAGAGACAAATTGTTTTACAAATTTGCCATTAGCGTAATTGTTTTGTTTATTAAGTTTTTAAATGTTTTTTGAGAACTTGACTCACATAATTAGAGATCAGGTACAGTGGCATATAGGACCGAATGTTCCAGTGAAGTATTTTAAGTCTAATTAACATTTTGGAACATTTATGGTGTGCCTTTTTCATCTTTATTTTGATGAATGACCAGACACAGAGATGGTGTGAAGACAGATGGTTAAGAGCACATATAGGCACTATATTATTACTGTACTTTGAACACAAAAAACATTAACTTGTAGTGATGTTGAAAATTAATAATTCTGTAATTATGCAATTCAAATGGTAAAACACAAGACTTGGACAGTTATGAATTTGCTTACCCTATCTCCACCTATAATATGTGACAGAATCTAAAGTTGTATCTCTTTAGCTTTGAGTATTATGAAATAGATCATAGAAAAAAAAAAGACTTTCCTCATTCAAACCCTCCATGGTTAATCCTTCATGATAGCACAGGTCTTTTGTTGCACCTTTTCCCTATTACACCTCATCAGCAACAGTCAGTCACTGCCACCCCACTGCACACTTTGTCTTTTAGCCAGAAAAGTCTCATTTTCACTGAACATGTAATCAGTCCCATTCATGTGCTTTAGCTCCCATTGCTCCCTCGACTTCACCTGGCTTTAGTGTCTTTAATTACTGTGGCTTTGGCTTTGTCTGATCACAAGCCAAGATTGAAATATGACTAGAAAAAACGGACAGGAATAATGCGGACTCAAACCAATTCAATAACCCACCAATCAAAGCAGAAAGGCTTGTAATTGCACTGAAAGGTAACAAGAGGGGCTCTGCGTCCGTCCTAGCGCTGAGTATCATTAATAAAGACCTCCTGCAGGGGGTGCTATGCTCTAACTATTAAACTTCACCGCAGCGCGCACCAATCTTACAGATCACTAGGAATTCAGCGTTTTTAATGTGACTATAGCCCTCGGTGAGACATTACCTTATAATTTCCTGTTTTTAACTCTGCTATTATGTCAAATTGTGCATGAATATGGTGTTTTGAGCGAGCGAACAGAAAATGGATGTGACATTCTAGAGGCAGAGTAGTCATACCGCTGCTCTGAATTAGGCCTCTTGTAGCTGTGCTGTGCTAAAATGGGACAATAGTTTTTACAGTATGTTCTTGGAGGAAGTTATGGGCTAAATAAGGCTTTGTAAAACTCTTAACTTTTTTCTGATATTTCTTCAAGGTACTAAAGTCAGGAAAGAAGCCAGCTGCCTGTGGCTGTGAGGTCTACATTCTACATCACTCTTTGGTAGGTCAAACAACACAATGAAAAAGTGCTTCATCTTTGACATTTTTGGTTAAATGCTGTATACTCGTAAAATAAAAACATAGATTATTGAATACATTTTAAAGATATCATTATAAGATACCATTATTACAATAAGGTGCCCAGAAGAAAAGCTGTGGCATTGTGAAATCAATCACAGAAATACCTATAATTCTCTCTTAGATGTGCAGTTGTGTAGTTTAGTTTATTTTGTATTCATTTGTTTTCCTGAGTTATGCATTCCCAATAAGAGAGAATTCCAATGTCAAATTAATATGGGCTAATGCAGCACACTATTATCTGCCTGATTTGGCACAGCTATGACTTTTAATACATGTTTAGCTCATCTCAAAATAAAATCTTCTTGGTTCACAGCAATTAATTCCATGGGGCCTCAAAACAAAGTAGGAACACCTGGTTGTTCATTACTCCACCAAGTCTCTCCTAAATTTAATTATTATCAACTAAAGCTGTCTTTGTATGCCATCCCATTGTTTTTAATCAACCTTTTTTTCTTGAAATCATATAATCATCAATGAATTTTACTTTTAAAATGCACATTTGTTGTATTTATTATTTTAATCATTTTTTCTTTCAGAATTGCAGTTTGAGAT